AAATGACTAAAATATCTTTGACATCAAGAAGGATAAGTCTAAGCCGGCAATACACAGCTTAAAATAAGCATAATTGAGTAGTTTGTTGAAATTCTCCTAGTAATTGATAAAGACATATTTAAGTTTGGGCCGTCCATTCAAAGTCCAACATGACAATCTAAGCGGCCCACCCGCAGCGTGCCTACTTCATCAAGAAAGTGAGCCAAAGTCCAAGCCAAGAAATCCAATGTCGTCCAGCTCAGTATATGTCTGCTTGGTCATCTCAAGCACGGTGGAGTGAACCAACTCGAGAACTAGGAGCTCGGTACGGGATAAATTCCAAACAACTCTCGTCGCGCCACTTGTTCAAGGGGACAGGGGGACAACTTCTGGTGATCCTAACAAACAAATATTCCCTGGTACAGAAAATATTTGCATACATTCCATTTTGAAGATCGTGGGCACAAAGTGAGTCAGGATGACAGATCTCACTATAGGACAAATGAAGAGGGGACCAAAAAATTAGTCAAGAAAAAAAGAATCACAAAAAACCCTAGATGACCACATGTATAAATAGAAGATGAAAACACTGTAAAAAGAGAGTTTCAGAAATTTATTTATAGTATATTGTGTAAAACGATTTTGAGCCAAAAAAAAAAAATCCATTGTACTACTGTTTTCTTCTTCAAACAATACAACCCCTAAGGAGCAAGAGACTCCATTACAGTAGATGTAGTTTTAGTCTTTCGACTAAGGTGAATCCAACATCAACATTTAGCTCCTTATTAACCCAAATATTCATAAAGTCCCTAGTGGGCCTCATATTATAGTTGTTTTGCATTTGGTTGAGTAATTTCGAGCACCATCAATAACAATTGTTCATGATTTTGAATTTTCTCCGAAAGCCGTGATAGTTTTACACAGAGCTGTAGATTTGAATGTACCAAAATACCTAGTGAAGCAAGGATAGACAAATGTATTTTATGATCCTTCTAGGTTCAGTTGGATTTGACTAAGTGCTTCAGTAGGATACTTCCACATATGATTAGACTTAAACCTATCTAGCTTTTGTGATAACTGCAAATAATCAATTCCTGCATACATCTTAGAAAATACTTATATTTCATACTTTTTACCTCAATACACATCGACCAAGCAACTTATATCCTCCCGACCCATAAATACGCTATTAGTGAATAGATTTATGTTACAGCTTGGCTTCTCATTCAGATATCACTTGTGAGAAAATGCAATTACGGTTGCCTAGATCAAGGACGACTACTAATCTTCTTATCTTAGGCCAAGGAGAGTCTAGGCTTGCATTTGATAAGCACATGCATGGTGGGTGAAACGTCTGTCACAGATTATGTTGTTATCTTTTGGTCATTGAACAGAGGTCAGCTAAATCATGGTCATTAAACCCATTACATTTATCTGCCTCTTTCACGATTTCCTCCATAAACTCCATAGAATTTCTCTTACTCTACAACAATGGAAACTAGACAGTCATACTTGCCTTCCAAGAGAAATGAACTGTAAGACCACCGAAATCAATCTAATTCCTCATAAACAGAAGTGCCCAAGATTAAGTACCAAGGATGTTTTTGTGATATTAAGGCAAGTTATGTAACTGACAACTAATGAGTAAAAAGAATTTGCCCTTAAAAAGGGAAAGAAAAATAGTTTGCGGATGTTGAGAAGCAAATCGAATGTTAAAGTAATAGGAAGAGAGATGTATAGTGATTCTATAGAAGAAGAATAAGAAGAAAGGGCCCAAAATTTTGCATCCTTATGAGATCCATTAATATTGAGTTTTCATAACAACTCAACTAGCTAAGCCGACGCATTCATCGTGATCATTCGTATGACCTCTAACTTCACATGGAATATGAAACAAACGGGTGGAGCGCAAAGGGGTGTCGAAAATACCTCTATGAACCGAACAGGCAGGCAGCGAGGTGACCTCTCCTCTTGACCTGAGAGACCGAGGGAATGAGTTAATTTGGCCAACATTCGTGAGGAAAGCCAACCTTCCATCTCTGGTACAACCCAACCATGTCCATGTCCCACCCGCCTGTTCATATCTTCCACCCAGTAAGTATCTCACAACCCTCTCACCATGCCATAAATTTCGTGAGCATTCAAAGAAAACGAAAAAAATCGCTCCCTCATCATGTAAATGATGAATGAATCTATAGAAACACAATCGATGTAACAACACAACAATTTTGTCACAGAAAAGGGCTATTCAATGATGGATTGTGATATTCGTCTCTATTGAACAATAGGATGGGAGGAATGAGAAGAGTGGGTGAGCATGAGCTTTCCACGGAAGGCATGGATCCATTGTTTTGGGGGGGGATTTTGGACGTGCTTGTGAATCACATCTTCTGCGGCTAATTGAATTGCCTCGGCTAATTGGGTTTTTCTTTTTCCAACAAACATGCCCTCGTAACCGCCAAGACGTTTTTCAGTTCCAAAAATAAAAGGCGCGATGGTTACCCTTTGGATATGTTTGGGAAGGGCTGTTAGTCGGACGGATTTGAACCGAGTTTGAGGTGAATTTGAAAAACTTGTTTTTTAATTGAATCTAAAAAATTATTCAAGTTCAATTCGTTCAAAAAATGAGTGCAGCCTGAACGAGTCTAAAACAAGTTAAGCTCAAATCGAGTCTAAATATTTACATATAAACGAGTCAAATCTGTCGACTTTGAGTTAAGTTTGTAAGGTTTGTTTTTTAAACAAGCCTAAAAACTTGTATAAGTTTGGACTTATTTAAAAAACGAACTAAGTCTGAACGTGTTGAACCCGAGTCGAATCTGAGCCAAGTTCGAGTAACTCATTTTGATTAACAATCCTACGTTTGAATAATGGATTAAAGTGAGATAACACTCATAAGAATAAATTAATAAGGTAATTGGTCCCACATATCCTTTGTTTAAGAAGTCAAAATAGAGGTTGAATAGAAATTTCAAGTCTAATTTTGACTTGGATGATAGAGTATTTTTTAACTCTCCTATATCAGCTAAATGTAACCCACCTCCCCCACGGCTTACAAACCCAACTAATGGGATATATAGCCTAATTATTATAATACCCCATCTTTACAATTTAACCCTATATCACTTATAATATATATGATCTATCCTTATATCAATTATTCACTTTGCTACTAAAAAATATATATATTAATATTTTAATGTTATTATGTATATATGAAAATGTATAATTTTGTTAGGATAAATCACCGATCCAAACATAAGATATAATTTAATAAAGTTATAGGTATAATGGTAAATTATTACAAAATATTTGATATAATTTATGGGGCCCACACAATTACACATTTGTTTCCCAAACAAATGTTTGGATTGGATATACTCTCCGGATGTGTTTGGGTAATAGGGTAGGATAGGAAATGATTTCTTTTTTTATATCTTAATCCATCCAAGTCAAACTCACTCATCCACTTTAAAACTCTAACTCAAGATTATATCTAATCCTAACATTTGTTTGGAAACAAATGTATAATACAGTGGGCTCCATAAATTACACAAATAATTTTGTAGTAGGTTACCATTCTACCCATGACTTTATCCATTTCAATCTTATCTGATGTTTGGTTAACCCATCCAAACCTAATAAAATTATAAATTTTTCACATATACATAAAAACATATAAAAATAAGGAAAGTTAAATATATATATATATATATATATATATATATATATATATAGTATTTTTTTTTCCAAACAAATCTTTTTTTTGAACAGAAAAATATTTATTTGTTTACAAAAAATAGAGTCATCAATTTCAGTCCAATTCACCAATTCCATATTTTCATCGTCCAGTTCAATGTCATCAATTTCTACACCAAGACAAGCAGTAGTCATTTCTTAGCCTTTGGAAATGCTCCTCACCAAATGAAGGAAGTTATAAAAAAAAAAAAAAGGGGCATTTAACCAATGGAAGGGGCATTCCAAAATACAATAATTTGACACTACTGTGACATGTCAAAACAAAGCACAGGCACATTCCAAAAAACACAACACTTTCCATTGGGCGTGCTAAAAAATTAATAAAAACTTCCTGGGAAGGTGCAATGTGGACACACTCATATACATACATTTCTATGAAAGGAAAACTTAAACATGATAAATTAGCACAGCTGGACTTGGGGTGTAGTGGAGCTTTGAGAAAACCACTGAATAAGGTGGCTAACAGTAGTCACTGGTTTACACTGTGGGTACTTAATTCATCAAAATGTTTCCTCAGAGCTACCATAATGGTAAAGAAACTGATGTTTCTGACTTGCTGCATATCTGTCTTGGCTTTTTGATATTTCAATTTCTTGAAAACTCCCACAAACAAAAATTGGTTGAATTAGGTTCTTTCAATTTCACCAAAAAATAAAAATAAAAACTACATTTCCAATGAATATTGTTTCCTTAGAGACAAAAACATGGGAACTTGAGTTAGGAAATTCCACTGCCATATTTTTCAAGAAAAACTGATGAGGATCATGCCTTCAAGAATTTGACCATGCCCAACCTGTGCGTGGACCTAATAATAACCAATAAAAAGCTACAAATGCTATAACATTCTACTTGGGATAAATCAAAAACCAAATAAGTGTTCACTCCAAGATTTCTGATCTCATAAAACTATATACACAAAGTTTTAACTCCACATTTGGCTTAAAGTTGATTATCTGACTAAAGACTCTCTGCCTGGTCCCCACTGATGATGATTATTATGAGTTGTTGCTTGGGTTCGGTATCCGGCCAGGTAAACAATTCAGCTTCCAAAAATAGGTTCTCTACAGATTTTCTTCTTGTGCGACCCAATGTGGGTATTTATTAGCACCTTGGTATGATATTTTTTTTTTTAAAGAAAAGTAGGAATTTATTGATTGAAAACCAAAATTACAACAATCAAAAACAGATACTGTTCTAAGAAGGAACAACTCCCGTTTGAACAGAAAAAACAGTAAAAACTGTTTATACAAGAATCAAAACTGCTATAAACAGAAAATTCCTGTACAATGACTGTAGCAGCTCCTGTAGTCCTCTGATCCAATAGCACCTTCTGATCCATACAGCTGCACAGAACCAGCTCCAGCACAGTCAAGCAGGCATCCTACAAAAGACAGTCACATATCTATTCAGATCAGCTCGCCAGACTACCTGCATGAACCAAACTGGACCTGATACTCCCACCTGCTAAAAATACCTCTCACACCACAGCTGCTCCTTTGCTCACAGTTCAGCTCATGAGCCTACTTCCACCCCCAAACATAAACTAGAACAGCAGTAAAAATCACTGAACTAGCAAATTTCTGTCCTCACATAACCTTTGTTTGGGAAACTATTCTCAGCAACTCCTGCTCTGTCTGAACAAAATACTCATATTCAGCACAGCTGCATCCCAGCAAATGACCCTCCAGTTGCACACCAGTCTCCAGTTTAGTGCAGTTCTGCAGAAACATCCGTGCAGTCCAGTGCAATGCAGGACGCATCAATGCAGTCCAATGCAGAGAGAATACCTTCCCAGCACTAGCCAACACCCTCCCAGTCATGCTGCAACATCCTACCAAAAACAGAACCTCACCTCAAGCTATCCACCTCAGACAGAATCAGAGAAGTTTGCTACATGAGCAAAACACCTATTAGCTGATACTTAAGAATTACCCCCAAAAGTTGGCTTTAATCCTTCAATGGAAATAAAGCCATTAAATCAATTCCTGGGAACAAAAACCTCCAACCCACTGATGTAGTACAACATCCCTCCACAGTACCAGATTCATCCAACTCCATTCCTTTTATCAAACACAACAACTTAATGTTTTCAAGGTTTAGAGTGGGAATCAAAGCATTCTTTTTTTTTTGGGGGGGGGGTCTAGACAAAGATGGCTGGGGGGAGTGAAACCAATGGGTTAACTATGTAAATCCAACAAATCATACGAAAATGGGAAAAGTGAGCACCAAAACAATCACAGAGATTCCTTTAGAAAACCAAATTAAGCATGCATTCTTGCTCAGTACTCAATTAACCAACCACTGATTACTTATCAAACCTAACCACTTATATCAAAAAGGTCATCAAAAGCCACAAGAAAATCTGACCACACAGTCCAGATTCGTGAACCAGACTTGATTTTCTGTCTTCTTAGAACTCTAGGATAGAGAGGTACGAACCTAAAGAACAGATATGTTCAATTAAGGTTGTGGAATCAAAGCATTTCATGGAGTCATTTTTATAGCTTCGGCCAAAGACGAACGAAGCCAGATCTGGGTGTACCTCTGCGAACCAGATCTGTTCGCATTTGCTACGGAGAGAGAGATAGAGAGAAGCTTAAAGGAAACACACCGTAGGATCTGAACTCAAAGGCAGACGATTGAAACAAGAAGACATATTTTACAGCAAGTGAAAAAAAAAAAAAAAAAAAGGAAGAAACCTTTGTCCGCACGTCGGCTACAGGTTATAGCGAGGGGTAGAGGGAATAGAGATCAAACCTTACCTGGAACGATGCCTAGAAGGTGGAGAAAGGCGCAGATCAGCAGGTCCGGCAGTCTCAAGAAAATCAGTTCTGAGCGTACCCGTATCTGACATCATATTGGTTACAATATTTGTTGAATATTCAATGATACGTATTAGATACGTGTCGTCCGTATTTAATAATTAATAAAATATATGAATATTTTACGAATACTTCTAAACATAGAGTAAGATGTATAATTTTTAATTTTAAACTATAACCCTTATTTAGAGTTCACATACAATAAAACATCAACAAAATTTCATCTGATTTTAAAAATACGAGTATTTTTTAAATATTATCTATTATTATATGTTAAGAGGGTATAAAAAAAAATGAATCACTTACACTATATTTTTAAAAATAAATACTTATAAAATCAATTAGTTAAATGTTATTATAATTTCTTTAATTTGTCATGCTCATTTTATGAACAGATCATAATGAGATGATATTATAACATTTTTATGATAAAAATTTCTAATTTTACTTACTAATGTTAAAGAATTATTGAAAAATTATAATTTCTAAGTCGTTAAATAATAATAAAATATAAAATATATTTTATTATAAACGTATCCTGGTCGTACCCGTATCCTATTTTTTAAAGTTTTGTCGTATCGCCGTATCCGTATCATATCGTACCCGTGTCACATATCCGTATCCGTGCTTCCTATGTTTTGAGTGAGAGATTGAGAGAGAGGCGAAGTGAGTGAGAGACTGAGAGAGAGTGAATGAGAGTTGAAGGGGTTAGCCCTCTTCATTATGCATGTAATGACGTTAAATGAAACTCACGAGAAGTTGACAAGACAGGTCACGTGACGGAGAAATCTTTTACACAGTCTTATAAATCAAGTCATGCTGATCGATAGATTCGACAAAGAAAGAAAGAGTTCGGTTCTCTTTGCTACAACTTTAGAATTGATCACTCAAGTATAGGTTGTCGCGAAGTAATATAATACTTGGAAGTCCGAGGTCGAACCACAGAGAATTATAACAAAAAGCAATTATAAAAATACCAAAGAAAATTTGAGAGAAAAATTTGTGTAAAAAAAATTTTTGAGTTGAAAATATTGATTGGAGATATTTAAACAATATAATAAAAATACTAGAGTATCAGGTATTCTCTCTCAATTCCATACAATAATGATTAAAGATTCAAATCTTAACTTGAGACAAGAATTATATGTCGGTTGATTCGAGTAACAAATCAAGTAAAAAAATCAAAAGTTATAATCAAAAAATTATCCAGGAACCTGAATAATCATCCAATTATATTATTTTATGAAATAATGATAAATACCTCAAACGTGGAATAACCAGTTATTTACTTCGCAGGGAAATTCAAGCAATCGATGTACATGATACAACGACTCAAAGATTTTTACAGAATAAAAATTTTGCTAAGAAATCAGAAGTTAAATTAACAAAACATCATAAATCATTAAGCACAGAGTCAATAATAGTACCGTACTTCGTTGAGAGGTTTTTCCCTAGTCCTAACTTAGCCTTCTAGCCAGACATAACGAAGTAAAACAAAAATAAAAAGATGGGAAAAAGAATAATCATAATCTCTAAATGAGAACCCCTATCTATACTAATAATAAATCTTAATTATAGGTAGAAGATATAAGGTTGGTTTGGAAGGAATTCCTTTTCCAAAAAGAAGTATTGTAAAGTTAAATCTCGTGCATAAAATCTTTGGGACGCAGGTAAAAAAATTTGTTTAGATTTCGAGCTTGAATTTTGCATATTTAGAAGTTGAATCATGAAAATTTCGTGAAATACAATTTTGTAGTCCTTCAAGTCGTCTTTTTAATCTCCAAAAATCAACTAAATTAGATATCACAGTCAAAAGTTATGATCAAAATACTGAAGACGTGTCAAATCTTTTTCTTCTTGGACACTTTCCTAATCCAACTCTAAATGAGTTTTCTTTCAATTTGGACTCTTATAAGGATTAAATTGTTGTTATATCTTCAAGTTTTCTAATCTCAATCTTGACTCTTCAATCCTTATCAATTGTCATTCTTCCTCTAGTGATTGATTTATTTGCATTATTTATTATCACTTTAAATCAACCAATTTACCTGCAAAATAAATCAAACAATTAGAAAAAGTATCAAACTAAAAAATCAAAGAATTTAACACATTTAATTACAAATAATAAGCAATTAATCAATCATTAAATAACAATTTTGATGGTTAATCACACCCCCAACCTGAATACTACTAGTCCCTAGTAATACATGGATCCTAAAATCTAAAAATTAAAAACAAAATAACCTAATAAAATAAAACACAAAGCCACTTTCGTAGGACTGACAATTGCATTTAGCATATGTCACAAATCTTTAAACCCCTAGGTTCTCCCTAATGGACGAGTATAGTCTCGTGAGAGTTTTCAAAAATGATACCTACAAACATCACTCTGTGATCAAATATCTGAATAATAATTTTGCCTCAGATTTTTACTAATCAAATTCTTCAAGGAGGGTGGAATAGTCAAGTTGGGATTGAGAAAGTTCTACGCTGACTACGTGCTAGAACTCTTTTAGCTTCTCAACCTTTGAAGAAAGCTTCTGGTTCTCTTCTGTCAGGCTTTTGTTTTAAGCCTGCAGAACCTTCACTTCTTCGCAAAGCTTTGCATACTCTTCATCCACACTCTCCTTCTTGGCCAAAGCTGAAGCTTGGGCATGGATGGCGTTTTTCATTACCTTATCTTTCTGAGCTATCCGAGCTCCGACCTCATGGACTTTTTGCAGACCCTTAAAGTTATGAAGGAGGAAAAGACTTAGAATTTTTTTTAGAAAGAGTAAAAAGCTTAAAGGAAGTCAGAATTAAGACTTATCAGGACCATATGTTAAATTGCTTTACGAGACACTTTATCGTCAGTAAGAGCCTTATTCATTGCCAGATCCCGAGGCAAAAGCACTCATTGGGCAATCCCCACTGCAACATTAAAATCTTCTATTTGTAGAGTCCTTGGCAGTAATTTTCCTCTTTTTGGCCCTAAGAATTGGTCGAAAATGAGGATTGGAAGACTCGGGTGGAAGGCTCGCTTCGGATTCAACTGTCCTCTACCTTTTAGGGGCAGGGTCTTCAGCGAGCTCAAAGATTGAGTCATCTTTTTGAAAAGGGGAGTGAACAGGTTCTGAAGAATCTATCTCAACATGAACAAAAGTTTCAGTAGTTGGAGCCAAATCGGCTTGGTCATCTAAAGGTAGACCTGCATCATTGGCTTCAAAAAGAATCACCTCGGGAAGGACTTTGGCAAGTGGCTCGTCATGAACAGAAATCGGAATCGCTAAAGTAATTAGAGTCGGCTCGGTGGAAGGAGTTAGTTCGACGGTTGATAGAAAACCAAGAAAGTTCTTTACCGTCCTATGCCTAGAAGCTGCAAGAGAAAACTTCTTCTTGGCTTGAGGAGTCTGAGCCCGAGCAGTCTGAATCGTTTCCCGATCTGTGGCAAAAGTGACGTTGGATCGGTTCGGCACGACAATAAAGGAAGTGTAAGTGGGAGTGTACCCGAGCAGCATATGGGCGGCTCGGTAGAACAATGTCTCATTGAAATTTCAGACTTTCTGAAGTTGTTCCATCTTTACCGAGGACTCAACAATCCTTCCCTTCATAGTTTCACTTGTGCAGAAGAAAACCCAAAGTCAGAAAAATGGAGAACCAAAGTTAAAACAAAAGGCAAAGGATATCAAATACCTGGCATGCCTTCTTCGTAGGGGCAACGATAAGATGGAGTGACAACCGAAGCGTATTCCTAGTTGCTAGAGACAAACACCACATCATTCTCATGGCCCTTGTTTGAATCTAGAAGATATGTTACCAAATAGCTCTCATTCTTCCTCACCGATAGATAGTAGCTATCTTCGGCAGCCTTAATAATATAAAAGTACAAAATATTCCACAACCCAAGACTCAAACCTAGAATCTTGTTCTAGGAAGACACCCCTATGACGATCCAAAAAAATTTAAGGCAGCAGTGGAGAGGGCAAAGTTTTGCCGCAGAGAGAACCCAGAGAAGAAGAGGATCAAGAGGAAAACGAATCTCACCCTCAGTGATGGCACGAGTAGGAATAGGGATTCTCTCTCTTGTGCCAATTAGGGGCTCATCCTTCCCAGAAATCTTAACCTCAACCTCGTCTGGGATGTTGTACTTGATTTTGAAGGCATAAACTTATAAAGGAATGAGAGGAGCCATGAAGAAGATGAAGTGCAGAGAAAGAAAAACGCAGAAAGAAAAGGATAGAAGTCTGAGAGTCTGGAAACAGAAAAGCGAAGTGAATGAAATATGAAGAAATTCAGTTTATAAAGGAGGAATTTTAAAGGGCAATATTTAAATACTCTGAATGTGCCGCCAAAATGAAAGAGTATTTCACAAAGTACAAGTAATTATGATGAAAAGATAAGAAAACGGCTGACAGACAAAAAACGTCTGTTAGACATTTTTCTTGGGGCAAATGAAGGGGTTAGCCCTCATCATTACACATGTAATGACATTAAATGAAACCCACGTGAGGTTGACAAGACAGATCATGTGACAAAGAAATCCTTCACACAGCTTTATAAACTGAGTCGTGCTGATCGATAGGTTCGACAAAGAAAGAAAGAGTTCGATTTTCTTTATGACCGAGCTCATCAATCTGTTCAGCTAAACAATGAAAGAGCTCGACTTGTACCAAGTCGAGTCCGTTAAAGTGTTCGACAAGGCGATTGAAAAGATCGATTTGTGTCAAATCAAGTCCCTTGATCTGTTCGGCAAACATCAAGTGTGCTCGACATTCAATATGTCTAAGTTGTTTCAAATGATAGACAGAAAGATAAAGATTCACCTATAACTTAGGCAATCAAATAAACGAATCAGAGAAATTGAAGATATCATGAGCAAATAATAGAGAAATATCAGCAACTTCCCAAACCAAATTACTGAATTAAAGGAAGGTGTGCCACCTTAAATTAAAAATCACGAAAACCCTAAGGGGATGACCATCTATAAAAAATGGAGGAATTCAAGGTGAAAGGTACGCTGAACTCTCTTGGTCTTCTTTCATTCGTTTTATTATTTTTACTAACTTAAGCATCGGAGTGTCTTCGATCGAAACATTTCGATCTTGGGCAGTTTGTTTGTTTTGTAAGAAGAGGAAGACTCAGAGATCAAGTTCAGAAACACATCAATATTTCAATTCCAGTAGGAGGTATTTTCGATTTTTTGCCTCTTACAATAGTGAAGAGAGGTAGATATGCAAAGAGTCGATGAGAACAAGCTTACCTCGATTGAAATCGACTATCGCCTGTGACCTGCTTGGACAAAGTGAGAAGGATCCTTCGTTCAACAGGGTGTAGCAAAATATCTAAGAAAGAGAGAGGGATAAGCCCGTCTTTTTACCTGTTAGCCTAGAGGGTGGGTTACAGTTAACCTATCTACACTGCTTAAATTCTCCTGTAGCATCCGGGGTCAAAGTTTGACCCGGGATTCAATGCCTCCCTCATTTTTTGGTTGCCAAACAAAAGATATATGGGACCCTTTTCATTGTTAAGCTAGCCTTATGACTCTTAACCCACTACCCAAACACACCTTCTAACCTTGAGTTTTAAGTGGATGAGTGGGTTTGAATTGGATGAGTTAGGATATAAAAAAAGATATCTTACCCTATCCAATCCATCTACCCAAACACACCGTAAGTATATTAACTAGGTCGGGTGCAGTCCGGGGAGTAAAATTATTGGGCCAAATCGGGTATTGGCACAGCCAAGTCCGCTCCGTGAGCAACACATCCTGACCCAATATCCCATAACTATTCATAGTGGGGTGAGTTTTTGTGTGGACAGGGCCGGGTTGGGTAGTTAAACTGAAATATTCAGGTCATAAAGAAATATTGAAAATTACACCAATAAAGTTATATGAACTTAAAAGTGTATGTATGACTTAAAACTTTATTACTTACATAACTTATTAATTTGTGAATTATATCTTAGCTTATTGATTATATATGATATGAATTTTTTTTACTGAAGAGATAAAAATCGGGGCAGGTTGATACAAAGAAAACTCCAAATTGGGTTAGGCAAGTACAATTGCGAGTCATTACAGCCCAATCCAACGCATAGACTTTGATACCAATAATAATTTTTAGATATTATACTTTTTTCATCTAAAGATTTAATGTTTTATAATTTTATTTTATTATTTCCATAGTCGATTGTTAAAAATAACTTAAACACTCAATATCTAGAAATACTAGAAAAAGAAAATTTCAACACCATAGTTTTAGGGTGTAGAAAAATTCAGGCCTTTGTATGAATATTTTTGTAGTCTTTGCTGCCAACTCGGCAACAATGAAGTCAACGCACAAGGAAAATATTTATTGTTATTGAATGCAGAAATTTGGAACACTAGGCCCGCCCGTCGTGCAAGGGACGGCAGCAAAGGAGAGAAAATGATCGGATACTAACAAGCCATTCAATTTGACTCTCAACGCAACTCGTGTATTAAATTAATAGCTTTGCAAGTGCCACTCTCTTCCTTTGATTAACGTTCGTTACACGGTCAACCCCCACCCACCGTCCTACTGTTAGATGCTGGAGTTTTAAAATTTGGCACGACAATAAATTGACACGGAGTAAAGAGAATTTGAATGAGACCGACTTTTATCAAGTTTGAGTGATAAACAGGTGAATTCGTCAGACCCGTTTAACAAACGAGATCGTATTCTGATAAGACATGTCAATCCGTTTAACACCAATTTATCCGTTTAGATAAAAGTAATATAATAATAAATTATTAATTATTAAAAAATTGGTCAGAATAATATATGTAGTTATTAATTAGATTAATTTTATATAAAAAAAAATTTAATAATAATAATTTTTTTTGAGTGAATTACAACATTTTTAACGACAAACAAGTTAAAAAGATGATGAGTTAAAAGAGTTACCGTGTTAACCCCATCCTATCTAATTCAATTCGTTTATTAAACGAATCGTGTTTTGTAACCTGTTTAAATAAACGAATTGTGTTCAATTTAAAAATTTTCTCTGATTTACTAAAATGAATCGTGTATGAGTTTATTAATTTTTCACACAAACTTAATTAAACCTAACTCGTAACCGTTTAAGTCAACATAATTTTTTTTTTATCATCAATCCGATAAGGGTGACCCTTTTAGTTAGGAATACAATACCATTTCGAGTTGAATAGTACGACTTTGACCTTTCAATAGACTGAGCTAGGAATTCACCCATGCTCACGGGCTACCCGATAATGGGCCTTAAACGGGTCATGAGTCATGAACCCCCCGCCCTTATTATTTTGATTTTATTTTGGAATAGTTGTGGTTGTTATAGAAAAGAAAGAGAATAAAATAAATGATGGCTATAAATAAAAAAAAAAAGAAGCAGTTTGAGTTGTATAATAATAATTGTGGTGGTAGTGGGAGTGGCCTTTAATCCTTATGGTGCCTACAGAAATTATAAATTTATAGTCATAGAGAGAGATGGCAAAAGAGTGGGAGAGAAAAAATATATATGTATAAAGTAAGGATGATCGATGGGTGGATGTCCACGCAATCTGCCATATCATCGGTGTTGAATGGACCTTTTGAAAAGTTCATCTTTATTTATGTGGAGGTATGCTCCATATGATTATTGTGCATCACTCGTAGTTTGTTATTATTCACATTATCAATTTCTTGGATTAATACAAAATCAATTAATATAGCAAACGACATAATGTGAGTAAGATTAATGACAAAATAGTTAGTTAAACTGTAAACAATTCATTATTTCGATCTTTAAATTTTTTTTAATTGTGAGCTATAAAAAGAGTCTAATTGAAGTGATTTGATATAGTATAGGATTTTCAATCCATAGGGTACGAGGAAATCTAACAACTTTTTCATAATTGTTCGAACAAGTTGTCGAAAAAAGACCATCGGAGAGTCAATTGATGGGACATTTTCAAAATACTCAAAGATAAAGACACATGTCCTTGGTGTCACTAAATTTTTGTTACTGTGATTACGACACGTACCCATCGGTTTACAAGTCCCTATCCCCCGAGGTACTGGTCGTAGGGATCAATGGCATCCAGTACGTTTACGTACCGACACGTATCCCTCGGTCGGGGGATATGGTACATCGGTCCCAATATGTACCTCCTTTTCGGCTCCAAGATGTACCTCCCCTTCGGTTCCAAGGTGTACCGTCCAGGATAGCATTCTCTGCTCCCGCAGAGGCTATTGATGTACAGGTCATTAGCCTAGGCTAGGCTGGGTTAGCCATCATGACCTCGTCTTACACAATTAGTGTCAAAAGGTACAGGAAGGTAGAAGACGCAGCCAATGGGGAAGGATCACGTGACATATTGTGTCACATCAAAGACAAAAAGACCGGATATCCTTACTGACACACAACTTGGAAAAACAAGCATTTAATTAGGTCATTCCCTTGATGAGACATCATTTAATGCAGTAAGGTTCAGAAGAGAAAGACAATAAATGTCCCTAATACTGGGCATTTATTACTCTCTTGCTGAGAAGAGCTCATTGAATATTCGGCAGGCCGATGACGACGCATTGATTGCTCGGAGTCTCGAGCAGTTAAGAGAGAAGACATTCCTCATAGGAATCAGTGCGCACGTTGCCTGTACCTAATGGTCACCTATTGACTATACTGACAGCAATCATTAATTTTTGAGGTATAAATACTCCTCGCAAAAGACAAGATAAAAATGAGAAAACCTTTCCAAAAACCTATACTCAGTGTTTTCTTCTTTCCCCCCTCTCAAATACTGACTTGATTGTCGGAGGGGATACGCCGAAAAATACTCTGGTGCCCTTTTAACTTTCCTTTCTTTGTTCCAGAAACCTTCCTCAGCCTTACTGGATCGCTCCGTTGATCCACATGGGTCTTCTATTATCGTTCCAGGTTATCACAGGACCTCACAGGCTATTCCCAATAGCAAGGTTGACCATTTGATTGACTGACTCGAGTTCACAACGGAAGAGATCTATTCTCGTAATTAGTTAAACTGTAAACAATTCATTACTTCGATCTTTAAATTTTTAAATTTTTTTTAATTGTGAGCTATAAAGGGGGTCTGATTGAAGTGATTTGATATAGTATTGGATTTTCAATCCATAAGGTACGAGGAAATCTAACAACTTTTTCATAATTGTTCGAACAAGTTGTCGAAAAAAGACCACCGGAGAGTCAATCTTTTCATTTTTTTGATTCTTAAAGATATTACATGGCTGACATCTTTTTTGTTACTGAAATAAATAATTCTATTAAATAAAAGAATAAAAAAAACTAGTTTTAAAAAATAATATTTATCATGTGTTCTCTCCTCTCCCATCTTATCTTTCTTCAAATTCCTCCTCTTTATTAATTTTTCAATTCCTATGCAACTTCTAAATGTTAACTTCCCACTCCCACATACCATGCAACTTCTGCAAAAATCAACTTTATCAATTTAGGTTACAAATAATTATTATTTGATCGACATTAAATTAAATTAAATTGATTTGGAGTGGAGTGGAGTGGACGATTTTGTGAGATAGAGAGGAATAAATAAAGAAAAACAATAAAAAAAATGTCTAGTGAATGTTTAAGTTTTTATTTTTTATTTTTGAATGATGAATAAAAAGTATTTATTTTACTACAAAAATTTATTAAATATATATGTAGTGACCACCAGTAACTTCTAATAAAAACGTAGTTGTATATTTTATTAAGTAATACCTTACCTACCTTGTTATATTTATATCTGATTGATTGATTGATTTCTTTAATGTTGTTTGAATGGCTTATTTATTTTATATTTGTCTTTCAACCTTAGAAATTGTAGTTAAATTTCCTTATCAAACCAAATGAAACCAAGGATGGAGAGAAATTCTGGTGGGTGGGGTTGTCTACTTTGAATTTCTTTTCCTATCCCTTCAAGAGAAGAAAAAGAGATTGATATGGAGGCTGGTCAGACGGCGACTAATGTACACGATACGACAGCTGTGTTGACTTGACTAACGATGAATTTGATAAACTAGAAAGAACTATTTCGTTTGAATATGGAAACCAAATGATACAAGATAAAGAATTGTAGCTAAATACCAAATTAACGAAGGGGAAGAAGAATCATTTAGATTTAGAGGCTAGGGAAGCTTATAATCAGAGTTACCAAGCAAAAAGTATGCCCATCTCTGTCTCTGAATAGGGTCTAATAGAAAGACAAGAGAGGGAGAGAGAGATTCACATGGGGATCTGCTGGAGTTCTTCATCTGATAACCACAGCCCTAGCACCACTGAGCATTTCAGTTCAGGTACGGTACCCCATAATATTCCCTCTCCTTTTCTGTGCGTCTATACCATCAATTTGCTCGCATTTTTTATTTATTTATTGTCTATATCTTCGTACTTTCACCGACTATTCCATTAATTTGATCAGTTTCTTGTTCTGGGTTTTTTTTTTTGTTTTTGGCGTAATCAGCTTCTAGATTAGTTCATTTCATAAGGTCTCATCTCTATTACAGGGTAATTTTTTTAGTATAGAGAACCATATGTTTGTTAAAATGGTACCTGGGTTTGCTTTTCTTTAAGAATCTTCCGTTAGCTGATCATTTTCACATATTTCAGCGTGTATTTAGTATAATGATGCGCAAATTGACCTGAACGTTGACTTAAATTGTTCTCCTCTGGGACTCTATTACAGCAGGGGTATCCGTGTCACAGACAACTAGTAACACAACATCTTCAGGAGGCAGCAACACCTCCGGGGACAGCCGGTTTTCGGCTGCCAGTGGAGGCAGTGAGGTGCATCCTAATGGGCAGATCTTGCCCGCTCCCAATCTGAGGGTCTTCTCTTTTGTAGAACTGAAAGCTGCAACAAAAAATTTCAGGAGTGATACAATTCTGGGAGAAGGAGGTTTTGGGATGGTTTTCAGGGGATGGCTAGATGAGAAGACAACATCTAAAAATGGTAGTGGATTAGTAATTGCTGTCAAGAAGTTGAATTCTGAGAGCATGCAAGGATTGCAAGAGTGGCAGGTAATTCAGCTGTGCTCAAGTTCAATAGTAATTTATATGCTTTGTCAAAGTCTACTTCTATTTTACTAGCATCTAATTGAGATAGCATTTCTTTTAAATTGAGATAAAGACCTTGACAGCGCAGAAACTGGTATGTTGTCCAATTGTAGTTGTTAACGACAATGGTTGCTTGCCCATTAACCTTTTCTTGTTCTTGTTTTTCTTTTTTGTTGGGGTACTTGCCATGGAAAACTCACTTTTCATGTCATCGTGTGTGTGTGTGTGTGTCTTTCCAGGGTGTGGTGAGGAATATAATGGGAACAGTCTGTTCTTTAGATTGGTTCGGGTGTAAATATCGTTTCTAATTAGATTCTCAGTCTTTGAGCTTGTTCTCTAAATGATTAATCCATTTTATCGTTTTCAAGATGCCTATTGGAAAACACTGCTATAAAGGCTATTTAAGTAATAATAAGAGAGTTGCAGATTGTAACACCATATAACCTATTGAAAGCCTATTGCTTATGCTTTTAAGCTGAGCTCACATGTGGATGATTATGCAGTTATAATGAATTTTCAAGTCAATAGGAGTTTTCCTAGATCCATCTGGAATTCTTTAAATGTTAGATGGTGAAACAAGACATAATCATGTCCTACTAGCCTTTCTCAAATAACATTAGACATCAGGAAAAAAATTCTCATAATGACAAAAAAAATAAAAATAAATGTTTCCCTGCTGTCCTCCTTTTTAGTGGTTTTCTAAATCCATTAATTAGGAACAGGAAACATGTTCAAAAACATAACGAATCATAATAGAATAAATCAAAGTGGGTTGTGAGTTAGGTGAATGGTTTTTGCTGTTTTGTTCTTTGTGTCTGGTGGTGGTGTTAGTTGGCTGTGGAGCCAAGGTGTGGATATAAATTATAAGGAGGTTTAGGATTAAGGTTCAATCATTACAGTATCCCTTATATCCAAAGAACTGGCTATTGTTTTGTGCAATTTTATTTGTTATTGCCCTTTAGGTAATTCGTTTAATTTCTTCTAAAGAATTTATGCTGATATTTCTTAATTTATTTGTGCAGTCGGAGGTAAACTTCCTAGGCAGGCTTTCCCACCCTAACCTTGTTAAGTTGATAGGGTATTGTTGGGAACATGAAGAGCTTCTACTCGTCTATGAATTCATGCAAAAAGGCAGCTTGGAGAATCATCTTTTTGGAAGTATGAATTAAAGAAATATACAATGTCATTACTTCAGATTTGCAAGCATTAGCCGCTGTAATCATATTTTTATGTTCTCAAAATAACCAAGCTGATTACTTTGCTCATCGGTTGATGCAGGGGGCTCTGCTGTTCAGGCACTGCCATGGGACACAAGGCTCAAGATATTGACAGGAGCAGCTCAAGGCCTGGCATTCTTGCATAGTTCAGAGGAAAAAGTGATTTATAGAGACCTCAAAGCCTCGAATATATTGCTTGATGGGGTAAGCTCTATACAGATGTTAAATAAGTAGCACTGACATGCATACAACACAAGGATAGTTTTCACTAACAAAATCGGAAGCAGAAAGAGAGAGATTGACTAAAATAACTAACGACAATATGTTTCTAAACTCGAAAATAATATTATAGGAAGATTTAACTCTTCACCAATTTGATCCAACAAATATTTGGTGGTTCATTTTTGTTTTGTTTCCATTCCCCAGTCCTATAATGCCAAGATATCGGACTTTGGCTTGGCAAAAATGGGGCCCTCAGCTAGTCAATCGCATGTGACCACACGTGTTATGGGAACTTATGGCTATGCAGCTCCCGAGTATGTTGCTACAGGTAAACCCTGGAACCTCTTGAACTTTGGTTAAGGTTGAGCGATGCTCAAAATCAAGCTTTTGAATGTTAATTGCATGCTTCAAAGAGAAACTGACCTAAAGCCACCTGAAAGAAATAATTATTTCGATCTCGTGTTTATCATTCAGGGCATTTGTACGTGAAGAGCGATGTGTATGGCTTTGGTGTTGTATTGGTTGAAATGTTAACTGGTTTACGAGCACTCGATACAAATCGTCCAAGTGGACAACATAATCTGATTGATTGGATCAAGCCACATTTATCTGACAGAAGGAAGTTGAAAAACGTAATGGACAAAGGGTTGGAGGGGAAATACCCCTCCAAAGCTGCAGTCAAAATAGCTCAGCTTGCTCTAACATGCCTTGGAGCTGAACACAAAATGAGGCCATCAATGAAAGAAGTTGTGGAGACACTGGAAGAAATTGGTTCTGCCAATGAAAGGCCAAGGGAGCGTAGAGTAAGATCCAGTCATCGGACAGCTTATCGACATAGCGAGCAGCCTCTGCACCATCGTTCTCCGCTTCACCCTAGGCAAGCTGGAAATCAAGCCTATCAACTGTCACTACCGGCATGAAAACTTTAATAGTAGCCACATCCTTTTTGAACAACAGTCCTCAGAATACACGACGGTTTCTGAGGTTTCCCATTGAAATGGTCCCTACACCCTTGTTTTATGTGATTTGTTCAACACGTTCAGGTGTTGAATTGGTGCCGCGTGCCGTGCCTTATATTGAAGAAGATGAGAATATTAGCCATGAAACTGTAATTAAATTATTTTCGCCAGTCTAGTGAGTTTTGCTTGGTACTTTGTTAGACGTAGAATGTTATTTGTGTTACAATTTTTTTATTTGATTTTGATTTCAAATCGCAAGGACGATATGCTGATTTCAAATCGCAAGGACGCATACATTGCTTCATCTGATTGGCCCTCTGCCAGTCAATTGCATTGTTACAAAATTACTCTATATCCGCTGCTAAGTGTTTTTATAATTATTTGTCTAGGTAGGAGAGATGAACAAAAGGGTTTAATGAAACGGCTAGTATTTTTATATATTAAACAAATTAAATGAAAGAAGATAATTTAATTAAATATAATTATTAGATTAGAAGTGAGTTTCAAGTAACTCACAACTAATTTAATAATTACATTAAATTAAATTCTCGAATTAAGTCTTTGTAGCAAAACATTTTTTACCCACCCACCCAACCAATTAATTAACTACTACACATTTCAGTTTCTAATTAATTAACTACGATCCCAAAGTCAATGTCTCTCTCTCTCTCTCTCTCTAAGTGATGGGTTGGGAATTTGGGAAGTAGAATGGGAGAAAAGTTGTAACTTGTAAATTTCAAGTATCTCCGTGTGGGTATAGATAGTATTATATTACCGTAAACAGAGAAACATTGTAACGGATCCATTTGTTTGTTACTAACCAAAAATCAGGAAACTGAGTTTTGTTACCAAACCAACCCAACCCAACTAACTAACTTTCGTTTCTTATTCAAATTAACGAGGCAAACGCCAATCGCATATGTAATACCCTCTTGTAAATTCCCGCTCAAAAGCATTAATCAAAAGTTTCCATTTGAATCTCTTTCTCTCTCTCTCTCTCTCTCTCCACGCCATGGAAGCTCGTTGCAGAAGATTTTTGATATATGTGTCTCCGCTTACAATCTTCTTCATCCTGGTGAGTATAGTATCCTAGTCTCACGTCAATCTGTTCCAGTTCTTTGCCTTGTTTTTGCTTTTTCATTTGGCTTTGTCCCATCTTTTTCCAACTAGTAGTATTTGAGTTATGATTTGTTCGGCCCTTCCATTTCCTGTAAAAATAATGTCGCTATTTTCTTTGAATTTGAACTTGAAGTGCAATGATGCAGTAAAATTTGTTGTGACTTACTATTACCTGTGCAATCTAGGGTTTTCATCAATACAAGATCAATACTTATTGTAATATCCCTCAAGATGTGGGAAATTATAAGATCAGATGAAATTTCACGTTTTGTTTCTCATAAACATTTCCTCAAGAAATCCCATTTAATCGCACTATGAATTCCCTTATCTTTACTTTTTCCATTTTTTGGGAGGTGTTTCTTTATAATTATATGAATCTGCATTTTCTGACTGTCACGGTTCTGATTGTAATTCTTGTCAAAGGAGTGCAACGAAAGTGCATGTTTTATAGGATAGGTCCTTATTATATTAGGCCGTACGTGTGTTGACTAATAACATGTATTGTCTCCCTTCACTCGTTCTTTGCTCTCAAAAGAATTCAAGATAGACCTCATTTCAAACACCACCTTATAAACCATATTTCTGCTCCTCATTTCATTGTTGTCTTACATTTCCTGTTCTATCCATGCAGGTCATGATTCTTATTGCTCTAGTCGGGGCAAATATATCAGACACTATAATGGGGTATGATCACTCATAATCGCCTTTTTTCTTTTTTTTGTATTGAATGGATCTGAAAATTAGATGGGTACATAGATATACTGAAAAAACTATTTGGAGAATTAATGTCACCGGTGATTTGGTTATGTAATTGGTGATATTGTTTGTGTTTTATCATGCCTTTTTTTATGTTTATTTCAGTTCAAGAAAGTTGAAAGGACGGTGGTCTGACTATGGTTGTCGAGATTGCATTGACATAAAGGTTTTAATCTATTCTTTCTTTTTCGCAAACGAAAAGCGTTACCATTTTTAATCTGAATGGATATACTTANTCTCTCTCTCTCTCTCTCTCTCCACGCCATGGAAGCTCGTTGCAGAAGATTTTTGATATATGTGTCTCCGCTTACAATCTTCTTCATCCTGGTGAGTATAGTATCCTAGTCTCACGTCAATCTGTTCCAGTTCTTTGCCTTGTTTTTGCTTTTTCATTTGGCTTTGTCCCATCTTTTTCCAACTAGTAGTATTTGAGTTATGATTTGTTCGGCCCTTCCATTTCCTGTAAAAATAATGTCGCTATTTTCTTTGAATTTGAACTTGAAGTGCAATGATGCAGTAAAATTTGTTGTGACTTACTATTACCTGTGCAATCTAGGGTTTTCATCAATACAAGATCAATACTTATTGTAATATCCCTCAAGATGTGGGAAATTATAAGATCAGATGAAATTTCACGTTTTGTTTCTCATAAACATTTCCTCAAGAAATCCCATTTAATCGCACTATGAATTCCCTTATCTTTACTTTTTCCATTTTTTGGGAGGTGTTTCTTTATAATTATATGAATCTGCATTTTCTGACTGTCACGGTTCTGATTGTAATTCTTGTCAAAGGAGTGCAACGAAAGTGCATGTTTTATAGGATAGGTCCTTATTATATTAGGCCGTACGTGTGTTGACTAATAACATGTATTGTCTCCCTTCACTCGTTCTTTGCTCTCAAAAGAATTCAAGATAGACCTCATTTCAAACACCACCTTATAAACCATATTTCTGCTCCTCATTTCATTGTTGTCTTACATTTCCTGTTCTATCCATGCAGGTCATGATTCTTATTGCTCTAGTCGGGGCAAATATATCAGACACTATAATGGGGTATGATCACTCATAATCGCCTTTTTTCTTTTTTTTGTATTGAATGGATCTGAAAATTAGATGGGTACATAGATATACTGAAAAAACTATTTGGAGAATTAATGTCACCGGTGATTTGGTTATGTAATTGGTGATATTGTTTGTGTTTTATCATGCCTTTTTTTATGTTTATTTCAGTTCAAGAAAGTTGAAAGGACGGTGGTCTGACTATGGTTGTCGAGATTGCATTGACATAAAGGTTTTAATCTATTCTTTCTTTTTCGCAAACGAAAAGCGTTACCATTTTTAATCTGAATGGATATACTTATATCTATAAGTGTTTTTAACTAATGAACGTGATCATGTAGAGTATGCATAGTTAGTAGTTATGTTATGTCACCTGTAGCATAAGTACTTGTTTTAGCAAATTAGCGGTTGTTCTGCTTCAAATTTGTTACGGTCACGTCCTGTTGAGTTCGTATTTATTCATTGTCAGTCTCCAGTTTTCTTGATGTTGCAGAAGGTCCTATTAATAGTGCTTTAATGTATCATTTTTTGTATTTGAGGGTTCCTCTTTTAGTTCTACACTGAAATGCTACTAGCCTAATGGCAGTAATGAATTATGTCAATTAATTAGGTTCAAGTAGCATTACTATATAATTTATAATTCTTGTTAGTTTTGAGGAACAGAAAAAGTCATCCAGTGCACAAGACTTGCCTATTGTGGGGTCTGAAAGTGGTTCATTGTTTCAAGTCTGACCTCTGATTAGTATCTGAGGAATATCCGATGGAAACTGTGGTGAGACAAGAGGAATGCCATGGATACCAAGGTTGTGGTAGTGAGATTTTGAGAAGGCAGCTTTCAATATATAACTCTTTCATATTTGCTCTGTATTAAAAGGACAAGATAGATAAATAGTTGGACTTTTGTGATGGCAGCTTTTAATTTAACTGAATGTAAATAAAAGCAGAGGATATCAATTGTTTTTGTTGGACTTAAAATTACTGTGAGTTGGAATGATCAACCATGATAGTCATGCATCTCTAAACCCCACACAGCCACCTCAATGGCCTTTCATGCCTTCAAATAGGCACACATGCATGTCAACAACGTGGATATGGTAATTTGCTTATGCACATATTTCGCATTGATTTGGAGCAAATGATGTCTGGGCAGGAGCAAGATCACATAAAATCTGTTGCTGAAGCTGACCGTTATCTAGACGAACTGGTATGGGCTTACTTCTTTCTGCTTGATTGTAGGCCTTAGTACGATGGATGATGCTTATGTCCACCTACATTCTGTAGGATGTAAGCATACTTGTTACATACAGTGACCCTTATGGTGCTGTCCGAATTGGGAACGCAAAGTACCGGAACTTATCTGCTTCCTGGGTCGTGAAAACTCCTATTGATGAAAACCATGATCATACAAAAAGTTACCGGGTATAGAGATTTTCGCCAAATTAACTCAAAGATGACTATTTCTCCTTGTTCAAACTGCTGATTTTTTAAAGTGGTTCATTGTTTCCGGGTTATTGGCAGTAACTAAGAATTGTCTTCATTTACTTCATACTCTCAGACACAAGAAGATCCGTCTCAAGATGATATGAGTTTTCAGGGAGGTGATGAGGATTCTACTGATGAACATCAAGCTGGTGGCAACATGCCTCGCCCACGAAATTCTTCAATGCATCCAGTGAATCTAAAGCGCAAGGTGACAATGTCAAATGCTTCTTTTCTGTCGTAATATGTGCATGCTCAGTTGATTTGGTTTATGACTATTTCTTGCACTGCAGAAGTTACGGCAGGAAAGGAGGGTCTGCCGAACTGCAGAGCTAATCCTCCAAGACAAAGAAATTGACAACCAGATGCAAGTAGCTGCCATTGACCGAGCTCAAGAGCGTGACACCATTGTAAAGCGTATATACACTATATGGAGAGAAGAACAAGTAAATTCAAAATCTGATTCTACCCTCACACTTATGCACAATCAGATCATAATGGCAAGGGCATATGCTAGCATTGCAAAAGCTAAGAATGATACTGTGCTATATGATTCTCTGTTAGAACATGCCAGAGAAAGTCGATTTGCGATAGGAGAAGGGATTTCTGATGCGGGACTTCAGCCAAGGTAGTGCTACCTTACTTTTTTGTGATTTAGTTTGTATACCTTTTGGCTTTTCATTTTTAAGTGGAATTCCAATTTCTTCCTTATCCAGTGCGCTTGTTCGAGCAAAAGAAATGGCTCACGTTCTGTGTATGGCAAAGGATCAATTATATGACTGTATTACTTTTGGAAGGAAGTTGAGGACCATGCTTCAGTCAACAGAAGTGAATCTAAATGCGCTGAAGAAAAAGGGCGCATTTTTGACACAGCTAGCTGTAAGGACGCTCCCTAGACCATTGCATTGCCTTCCTTTACTGCTCACGACACACTACTTCCAATGGGGTTATGAAAACAAGACATTGCATTGCAAAGAAAAAATTGAAGATCCTTCCCTGTACCACTATGCCATCATTTCTGATAACATACTTGCAACATCTGTTGTTGTGAATTCAGCTGTGCTACATGCAAAGAAGCCTGAGAAGCATGTTTTCCACATTGTAACAGATAGCTTGAACTTTGCAGCAATGAAGATGTGGTTTCTTTCCAACCCTCCTGCAAGTGCAGCAATCCACGTTGAGAACCTAGATGATTTTACATGGCTCAACTCATCTAACTGTCCTGTTCTACGTCAGCTTGAATCTGCCCGACTGAAAGAATATTATTTTAATGGGCGTCAACCATCTTCCCTCGCTGAAGAGTCTGACAATTTCAACTACAGGAACCCAAAATATTTGTCCATGCTAAATCATCTTAGGTTCTATCTTCCTCAAATATTCCCAAAGCTGGATAAGATCCTGTTTCTGGATGATGATATTGTAGTTCAGAAGGACCTGGCACCTCTTTGGTCTGTTAATCTGCGAGGGATGGTGAATGGTGCAGTGGAGACCTGCAAGGGGACCTTAAAAATATTTTCGACGTATCTGAATTTCTCTGATCCGAGGATCTCCAAAAATTTTGATCCAAATGCTTGTGGTTGGGCATTTGGCATGAATATTTTGGATTTAAAGGAGTGGAGGAAGCAGGACATTACTGGAATATATCATCGGTGGCAAGACATGGTAAGTGACCTTCAGTGTCCAATATCCACATCCCCATTCGAGTGCCAACATATACAAAGTTGCCAAATTTTTCGGAAATTTTTGTTCTTCAGCTTTTATTTATTGTTGCAGTATACCTGTGTTTCGTATGCACACACATTTTGATTAACTGTATGCATGTCTGTAAGTCGAGGTCATAGAATACTGAGATTGGCTGCCAGTCTATGTTACAGCATTGTTGAAAATAGTTTTCCAACGGGGGAAATTCATTTGATAGTTTATTGAGAAAACTGTAATGGACTGCAAAATGGAGGATGCAATGAGGCTATGTCGAAATTGTTTTTGGTTTTCTCAAACCTAAAGATTAGGAGTTCAACTTTTCAGGAAAAAACAGATTAGCAGCTCGAGAAATGCTGTAGTTATATTTCATAGTCTCAAAGTTGGTCATGGTTGTGTTTGAATTCATTATGTTTTAAGTTTAGAACCTGTTGATTGACAAGAATGTTGAGGAAAGGCATATATCACCTCATCATCTTTTCATCAGCTGGATCCTAATGGCTTCTTGCCCTTCTTTTCCTTTCTCTTAAATTCTATCGTTTTTCCTCTCCAAGAAACCAAACTTTCAATATGAAGTCCTCCGGATTGTGACCAATGTATTAGCACTTTACGATTTCCCTTCCTAAATGGTTCTCTTTGTGCTCTGTTCTTTTTGCAATTGTCTCTACATGCAATCAGTCATAGGATTTGTTATTATAGAAGTCTAGCATGTCACTTACAGATTCCTGTCTAGTCATTCGAATTCTTCCTCCTTTTTTCTTATTATGCTTAATATAGGTCCTTATTGTCCAGGCTTCTAACTCATGGAGAAATTGTTTTGCAGAATGAGTACAGAACTCTTTGGAAACTTGGCACGTTACCGGTGGGACTGTTAGCTTTCTACAACCTGACCTATCCGCTGGATCGGAGCTGGCATCTGCTGAAACTTGGCTATGAACGAGACCTTAGTGAAGAACAGATAAAGAAAGCGGCTGTGATCCACTATAACGGAAACTACAAGCCGTGGTTGGAGTTTGCTATCACCAAGTACAAATCATATTGGTCTAGATTTGTGATGGTTGACAACACGTATCTTCAGCTATGCAACATTATGAAGTAGTGATTCATATTGTTCTCTCTCTGTCTCTGTCTCTGTCTCTCTCTCTCTCTCTTGTGTACTATTTGTTTTGACTCTGCTAAACACTACATTGAGAACAATTTTGGTAAATCATTTCATCTTTGATGTCTCGTATCTTCTTTAGTCGCAAGTTAATGACACTAAGCAGTGTTGCAGAGCACCTAGACACTCCAAAAGCAGAGTATATAGGAAATAAAGAATACAAGGTAGGCACATGCAGAGTTCCACAGAAAAAGTTTGCACCTCATACTGTTTAAGAATAGACTAATTAGTGCCCCTGCAAGATTAATATTATCCAAAAGTTTTGAATGCTTAATTTTATCACAGAATTGTAGGATCCGAAATACATGAATTTTCAATAGTCCATTTCAGACTCATTGGTCTATATTATCAAGTTGCAGTGGTGGTATTCTGACAGAAACTTACAGCAATACACCATTTGACAAGCTGCTAGCTTCACACTTCCAAACAAAATTACAATACTATTTTCCTACTCTACCACCATACGCCACCAGAAACAGATCATGGAGTTAGGATGGACCACTGCTACCTAATGAACTTCCAAGATTCTTGGTGATTGAAAGTTTAATCGTGCGGCTCCCACATGATCTGTGTATGTCTATACATTCCTCAAGATCAGCATCACAAGTCAAACGAACCCACTCAGAGTCGTCATCCAAATATTTTAGATTGATATGTTTGACATCATTTACATTAAATCGCCTCACAATCTCTTGCTGTAAATCTATGAAGCCCCAACCTTGTTGCATGCTGAACCGGATAGTAACTTCCTCAAAAGTGGCTTTTATTCTGAAAGTACTCCATTCACCTAAAAGCTGGCCACTACTTCTTGGTAAAGGAGGTACAACCTCAAGAGAAGGATGCTCACAAAAGAATTTATTGCCATGGGATCTTAGCAGAATCTTTGTTTCATCTTGACACAAGTCATACAAATCTGCATCACTGCTAGGTTTTTTCAGCACCTCACCAGGCTGCCCTGCCGATAAAGAATGTCCACTACATAGGGCATTGACAGTGACACATGGCTGCTTTGCTCCAGTGGAACAACAGTGAGAAGAAGAATGTGCTTTTGACGAAGTGGTTCCAGGGCTTAATGAGCTGCCCACACATTTTGTGTTTAACAGCTTCAAACGATCATTTGTCTTAGATGTGGAGAGGGGACTAGTCCCAGGTAAATTTGAAGAGCTTAGCTCGGGAAAGTTTGTATAGAAGGAGCTGAGTTGGATAGCTCCATCCACACCTTGGACTGAATTAATCACGAGTTGTAGTTTCCTCAAGGAGTAGCCAACCTTCTTGATTTTTCGAGAAGGCCATCGGGTGATGCCATGTTGCCTGCATATCCTTTTCAAAGTAGTGGGACACACTGCAAATGAAAAACTGGGTAAGCTAGTGAGCTGAGTAATTTACATGCGTGAAATTATATGACGATAGCTATCAATATAACTCTAAGCTTCTAAGGATATTCATGCTTTCTTGGCACGTAGTCAACACCAAAATCTAGGATACCACCAATAGAGAGAGAGAATGGCACCTAAGTCTATTTGCACAAGGCTGATGGGTCTCTTCTAAAGAGAAAACAAAGCATAACAACTTATGACCATATACAAAAAGTTTCAGTCTTCTTGGTGGTGCAGATTGGAGGAAAACAGAGACATAGGATGCAGGGAAAGATTCACTGTAAAGCTCAAAAAATCAAGTTATAGTCAGGAGCATTTCAGCATTGGTAAAACTGCAGATATGAGAAGTGATCATTCTGGGAGAAAAACTTTGGCACCCTTCACAGCTAAAGGTAAGTAATATTGGATAGGAACCAGACCCTGATAACAAAATTTTGAAGAGGGAGGAACTATCTCACACCATGAATAACGAGACGCTCTGGAATCAATCCAGCATTTAACTGTAAAGAATAGAGGAAGCCTATGGCAACAGGAAAGTAAAATGATGAAAAACATCAGATTTCCAGGTCATAACATATCTACAACAACCCGAAGTTTACGAACTAGTCCATAGCTCTCTTAAATCCTATTGCATTCCATGTATCGTAAGAAAAAAGGATGATTCGTGGCTTGAAAAAAAACTCCCAAAATTATGTAATCGTGGTCCTGGCAATCTGAATCTAACCAAGCATTCTGAAAGACTAAAAGTCAATACATGAAATGTTTATACTTTGCTGACGTATATAAAGTCAACGTAACTCAAACTAGAACAGACCTCCAATACTCTTAGCAGCATCCTTTAGGCTCCCAGAAAAGTACCGCCGAAGTTCTTGCAAGCTGATAATCTTCTCTGCCTTCTTTGGTCTCCTACCTCTGGCTTTTCTGGAACCCGAAGTGTGATGCAATACAGCAGAAGAAATGTCTCCATCACCCTCAGCACTTCCTTTGGGCCCAGAATATTGCTGAATTTTCCTTTGTTCTGAGAATGCTGGCCTATGATGTAACCCTGCCTCATTGCTATCCCAATGGGTTGTCAACTTGAACTCTTCTTCTGTCTCCTGGTAAGACCCCATGGAAATCGAAACACCTTTACTTTTCTTTTTGGCCTCCATCATGTGAGCAATCCAGGATGACTCGTCTTGAGGTTTTTCTTTTGAAGGAGGATACACCAACTTCTGAGTGTTTTCTTCATCTAATCCATCACCTGAATCGGTGAATGTTTCCATAACTGGGAATGCAGTTTCTTCAGCTAATTCCTGGTCTGTAATAACACGTAAACTATGACATACATGTTGTATCACAGAGGATAATGAGATCAGAATCTGTTTTTGTTCTTCAGCATCTTTGCACTCAAGGGGCAAGAAGAATTCCAAGACGAAATCATCAAATCCAGTGAAGATGCTTCGAAGGCGGATTGCCACAGCTGCACCCAATCCAAACATCCTGGCATGGTGAGAGAGAGGATACTCGGTCTTGCTGAAAGCTGTAATGTCTGCGGCAAAACATGGCTGATTCGTCATGAATGCTCCCCCAGTAACACCTTCACCTTTAAGGAGGTGGTGCTCAGAGCATGCCTCATGGAAGCCCAAAACTTGAGGATTTGGCACGTAGCAAGCAGAATCTATGGTGGAAACACAAGAACCATAGTTCTCCTCAGAGTGACGGCACCCACCTTTCCCTTGCTGAATACATGGTACCCAAGTCTGGGCTAAAGGCAATCTATGGGTGTCACAAGCACACTTCAACACTTCTCGAATCTCTGCCAGTGCAGCTTGGTAAGTCTCGTTGCAATCCTGATACAGAAATATAGCTGTGATATGCGGAATAAATTTTGATTTTAAAATTGTTACATTAATGTTTTTTGACATTTCATCTCTGGTACCTTTACTTTTGGAAGACTCGAGATTTCTGAACTCCTCAAATCAACAGCCTGCAAGTTAGCAAGTTTGTTCAGAAGAGATTATATGACAACATAAATATGTATGCAATAGTACTTGTTAGCAAAAGCTAACATGCAATTTTTTTTTTTGATCGTAAGCTAACATGCAATTCAAAGAATGAATTCTGGTAAGTGAAAACAAATCTACTAGTACTGGATGGTTAATGGAAACCTATCACTGTGAGTTTCTATGCAATAATCCTCTTGCATTTGGTATGAACAAGTAAAGCAGAGCTGAAAGATGACAGTATAGTATGAGTAGCTTCTAAAGGGTTGTTATTTATTGAAGAAAGGTCCCTGATGACATGGCTTAGATGGCACACAAGCTGAGCAACATCTCACTCACGCTGCCATGCCACTCATGTTGGAAAAATGACAGTAAACAGGTACTTCCAAACTTTTCTTATTACTTTTCATAGTTTTAAACAACCACTCTGATCTCCCTCAACATAACTTAAGAAGTAGAAGATGAAAAAGAAGAACATGACACCTGAAGAGCCCTGTAGACATTTTCCAGTTCTGGGCCATAATTGGCTTTTTGAGTAGTAGTCACGATCTCCACAACACCCAAACAAGTACCACTGCCACGTTCGAAAACAGGAAGTGCCAGAGAACCTCTAACATTATACTGCTGGGCATAATTAATACGTGGACACTCCTCCTTATTGAAGAAGCGAACATCAGGAGTCCACTCAGGCAACTTCTTCAAGAAAACCCGGCCAGGCAACCCAAACAACTCCTTTGAGCCTTCCTCAGCTGCAAACTGATAGCTCCTGGAAACATCTCTATAATGTGCAAGACTCTTACAGTTTGGATTAAGGGAGAATGGTTGGTTGTTAGTGGTAAGGACATGCCTGCCTGCTCTCTTTACAGGGACCCATATCTGAATAAGCACGTCTCTATCTCTGGTGGATTCTTTTAGATACTCAATTGCCTGCATTAATCTCTTTTTAATGGAGATAGTCCCCAATTTTCTGTTGTTTTCAATTCGTTCAACCAGAGATGCCGTGGTTTCTTTATTTGGCATTTGACTTCCAGTAAAATCTTCAATTAAGGGATATCCAAGAGGTGGGTTATCAACAAAAAATGATCTTTCTGTTTCCTCTCCATAACCTTTCTGATAAGTGTTTGGATTTAAATAGTCCACCTTAGACTCATAATTAAGAAAGTCATATGAAGGAGAATCTAAAGCGATGTAAGTAGATCCATCAGTAGTCTCTAACCAGAGACCGTTGTACATGACTTCATCCATGAGACTGAAATCCATACTGTTGTCTGAAATTGTTTTCATCATGGTATTAGGCATAAAGGCGGCATCTTCCATACTGAAATCTTTTTAGCCTAAATCATCCAAAAAAAAAAAAGGAGTCATGACCCAGAATACAGAAGAAGGGTAAATGTGAAAAATGAAAAGCGGAACTTCCAGGAAGGGTTCCTTTTGCTTGTCTTCAAAACCCAAATCAGTCCGGGTAGCACAGACATCGTCAACAAAATTTTCTTTGGAACTGCAATCAGAAATCCATTTTAGAGGAAAGAACCCAAAAAAAAAAAAAAAAAAGTTGCATACAGGATTTGCACCATTGGAATTGTATCGGATCCCAAGACAGGATACCATATAACTTCAGGGTATTATCAGAGGCAGAGATTCATCTTGTAAATACATTAAGAATAGCACAACAACACAATTTAACAGAGAACAGGGGCATCAATTATTAGGTTCATACAGAAACAGACATGTTAGAAGAAACCCATCACCCCAACTCCCAACTCAAGAAGGAGTTTCATAGTTGTTGTTTTTTGTTTTTTTTTTGGGGGGGTGGACCTTGAAGCTTTAGCTAACCCTTAACGGATGGGATTCAATATTGTTTCTAAAGTCCAACATGACAGCAAGTTATAGATTTCAAAGGAGCAATCTTTAGGTAATGGTCTCATCCATATACAGAAAATTTGGACCCAAACTCGGCCTCTCTGATGTGAAGTCGGGAATCACAACATGAATCCAAAAATTAAATCAAATAAAGGATAGATAATACATAAGAAAATCAACCCAATTCATCAAACGAGATATCTGGTAAAACTCATGTTGTGAAGAAAAGACGAAACTTAGGGATGCAAAAGAAATTGAAAAAGAGAGAGAGAGAGAGAGAGAGAGAGAGAGAGAGAGAAGAGGAAGAAGTAAGTGACTCACTTGGCGAAGATTCTTATTAAGCAGGGATGTTGTACTATATCTCGGCAACAAAGATTCTGGATAGTTGTTATATATGATGATGATGATGATGATGATGAAGGGTGGGCTAGTCTAGTCTGTTCCCTCTTGAAGCACCATCCTCTATAATAACAAGTTATTTTCCGAAACAGAGAGATCTTCTTTGTATCTTCAGTTCTCCTCTTGGCTGATATCAATCGAGTTTCCGCGTCTGGGTATCTATATGAGGCTACCAGGGAGATATATATTGCCTAGATTCTCTTATTCGGACTTCACTTCGGTACCCGAAAAATAAAAATTTGGTATCTTAACTCTAATTTTTATTATTATTTTAATAAATATTTTTATAAAATTTTATAATTAAAAAATTTATCGTATTTATGGATATTTTTATAATATTTATAGATATTTTTATTATTATTGTGATAATAATTTTTACTATTTTTTTATATCACAATTTATATCTATATCTATATCTATATCTATATTACTTATAAATATTAGCATTTGTAAAAAATTTTAATTTCTTATTTTATCCCTAATTACTATAATAAAATTAATTATACCTATTATTGTCACTTATTTAATTTTTAACTTGTTTTAAACTCTTGTATAAAGACTTTTAATTCTTTTGAATTTGTTTATTAGTAGTACAATTAACTAAATTTATATGAAAAAGTAAAATTAAATATATATAATTTTTTATTTTTTGATATATAATAATATTATAAGTGATTTAATCAATCTATTTAATAAAATAAAAAGTGATAATTCTATTATATATAATTGGATGTGTAAATATTTAAAGAGGTCGACGAAATATTTAAATAAATGATAGATTAGATACTCAAAAACTTATAAATAAATAAATAATTTAAATATGGATTAATTACTCAACACCTAATTTATTATTTAATTTAATCATATTTTTTTATAAAAATAAAATTATTATATATATTTAATTTTATTGCATTGCTTATAGGAATAAAAATACCCACATATATAACAAACATATCTACAAATATAATTAATAGAGATTAAATATCAAAAAATGAATAAAAATTGGATTCCGTATTCAACTCGCACTTTTTCACCTCCGACGTAGGACCCACAAAGGGGCCCAGGAGAGGTGGAACTGAAAACCATAAGTGGGGATGGAAATAGAAGGAAAAAAAATTGTTGGTATGGTAAAGAAATAGAGAGCAGTTATAATTTATTTTGGGTCAAATTATAATTAAAAAAGATCACTAATAATTTAATGAATCAAGTTGATCGATCCCAAAATGTTCGATATGTTCCTAAATATTAAAATCAACCCTAAAATTATTGTAACCTCATGAAATTAAATTGTTATCGTTATCAAAATATAAAATTTTTAATATTTAATTTTATCGGAGAAGGTTTTTAAGAATTTTTAATATCAAAATTTAAATTTTAGTTTAAAAAAGAGTAAGGGTAAGAGATGCTCTACTGTTTATTTGGAGTGGGTTAGAGTTGATTTTCTTCCTAATACTTATTTGGAGCGGAGTTTGTGAAAAGATTCTTAACCCTTGAGTTTAAATAAACTATCAAAAAAATTTTAACCCCTAAATTGACTTTGGGTTTCATTTTTCAATAAACTCTTTTTATTAACAACTTTGCTTAGTCATTAAAAATGACATAAATAAAAACAATAAAATAATAGTTGTTAATCAGCAGCCAGCATTTATTTTATGTGGTTGTGTCACTATCTTTTTATAATTTATTTCAATTTATGCGGTGTAAGGCGCCGCTTCAATAAAAATAAACGACACCTACAATTACAATTAGTAGGTCCAATGAAAAATCTTAAATTAAAGATTTCTCTTACGTACATTCCATACAAAAGCTCTAGGGGAAGATGCATTATTCTGATATTGTATGGAGTTGATGGATGAGTTGAGGCTGACCCATCCACTTGTAGCCTCAATACGTGTTTTTTCGACCAATGGATTCTCCTCGACATCTAGTCAGATTCAACCCTCTTGCTGCTAAACAAAGATTAATTCGGAAAGCTTGTGCAGGCGGAGTTTATTTTTATATATTTCCCTCATAATGTTGCTACGAAAAGTCCTTTGGGTTTACTTTAATTGCCTTTTTTTTAGTTTTTAACTTGTAACTCTATGCCAATCAGACAAGCTAGTGATTTCATCACAAATGTATCTACCTGAGCAAAACACCAGGTTAAGGAGCAAACTGAGAAGGAATATAAGTTTAATAAAGGGGGAAACCATCACTTCTTTTCATGTCTTAACCCTGCAGCCATTCTAAACACCTCTCAACATTATGCAGCTTTACTTTCTTTTTTATTTTTCTAACCATCTGGGGGTGAATAGGTCAGTTTACGCACACCTCGACTAATTTCCTCTCCGGTCCGGTTAAAGGTAGGTGATCCACACTAAGACTAAGGAATTCATGAGGTCTGACTCCTATAGGTAACCAAGATTCGAATTCAAGACGTCTGGATGTACAACTTGTTTCTTTTAACACTTGAACTACCCCTTGGGATAACAACATTACTATGGTCAATACAAGCATATGACATAACATGTACTTTTGATTACCAGTTTATTGATTTAAGAAAGATGTCAATAATCTGAATGCAGATCTATTCCCTGCACACCAGTATCTCCTTCTTCCTAAACCCAAAAATCTTGGGTACCTTTGAAAACAAAACACACGCATACTACCTTACTTCTCCAATTCTTGCAGCTGTAAACAAGAACTCATCTACGACTCCCTGGCAAAAACTATACAGTCCCCCACAACAGAGTAATTCCTATTGAATTTGCCTCTCAAGTACACCTTTAAAATCACTTTACCTGTGGTTGAAAATCATACTATTTGATTGGAATTGGACCCAAAAGCGCATCTCAGCACAAAGCACCAGAACAAATAATAAAGTTTGTAGCAGAAATAATTTTCTATAGCTAGATTAGGTGGCAGATTCCTATCAGCATCTAATAAATTCAATGCTCAATTATTTAGATGAACTGTCTGTCGATTTGGAATCACATATCTGGCTGTGAATCGCACGAGCCAATGGAATCAGTTGAAGATACCAATCAAATAGATCATGGATATTCATGACTCTATTTTGTATCCACAAGGAGATTGTTTAAAACCAACCAACTCCTAATGGATGGAGTACCTATAAAGCAGATGTAAGAAAGACCAGGCAAGTAAGTTTATCTAACTATGGTTGGATGTGTGTAGGTGAATCATAAGGGGTCACAAGTTATGACAACGGTACAATAATAAACTAAAATGGTTGCTCTTGGTAATGAATATTTCCCACTTTCACTCTGCCAATACTCTTTTTCGTGGAAGGGAAAGGGCGGAATGCAACCTAGCATATCCCCATCAGGCATATTCACAAGTTGTGCAGAACTGATGGATCTATTGGATCTCTTCACTGAAAATGAGTATCTTCTGTCATGGTAGTTGATTTACTGGTTTAGTCCAACATCAAGTGGCAATGAAGTGGTCAAATGAACAGGTACATCTGGACTCTTCATAGCACAATGTAAATAATTAAGGAATGGGTCCCTTGCTAAAAATGGAATAAGTATAGCCAAAAAAAAAACTTGTAATGCTCTGACTGTGAACTAAGTAGTAGTAATTAGGTTAACTACAATGGAAGCGACTCATTGAGCATTCATAATGTGAGCTGCACAATAAACTTTGTGATTATGAAGCTTCTTCCTAAACCCAAAAATCTTGGGGACCTTCGAAAAACACGCATACCACCTTACTTCTCCAATTCTTGCAGTCCATGTCTACAACTCCTTGGCAAAACTATACAGCCCTCACAACAGAGCAATTCATATAGAACTGCCTCAGCAGATCTTTAAAATCACTTTAGCTGTGGTTGAAAATCATACTACTTGATTGGAATTGGACCCAAAAGGGCATCTTAGCACAAAGCACCAGAATTAATAATAGAGTTTGTACTAGAAAGAATTTTCTATATTAGAACTAGCTTAGGCGGCAGATTCCTATCAGCATCTAAAAAGTCAACGCCCAAATATTTAGATGAACTGTCTGGATTTGGAATAAAATATTTGGCTGTGAATCACACAAGTCAATGGAATCAATTGAAGATACCAATCAAATAGATCATGGATATTAATAAGTCTCTCCTGTATCCAAAAGGTGATTCATTCTCTTTTGTTTAAAACCGACGCCTGATGGAGTACCTATAAAGCAGATGTAAGACAGACTAGTCAAGCAAGTTTATTTAACTATGGTTGGATGTGTGTAGTTGAACAATAAGGGAAGAAATTAAATACTGATTTAAGTTCAGGAATCAGTCTTAGCACTTGCAGTATTGAGGGAGCCCAAGTTATGACAATGGTATGATAATAAACTAAAATGGTTGTGATTGGTAAGGAATATTTCCCACTTTCACTCTGTCAGTATAATTTTTCCTGGAGGGGCAAGGGGGGAATGCAACTTAGGGTATCTTCTTGCACAAACTAAGTGATGCATTTGGAAGCCCATTGACGTCCAATCACCTCATTGTATATTGTAGTGTGAGTCAAGGATCAAAATATAGTTTTGATACGATCGAAACTTCCGAAATATTTTCGTTTTCAAGGAGACCGAAACGAATTAGTGATGACTCAAAATTCTAATATTTCGAAGTATTCCATAATGTTTCGATATGTTTTATAATATTTCAATGCATTTGCACAATTGTTTCGAAATGTTTCAAGATATTTTAAAATATTTTGATATATTTCGATCAATGTTTTAGAAAAAATAATTTTTAAATTATTTATTTATTTCATTAAGTTTTCAAAACGGATCGAAATGTTTCTGAAATAGTTCAAAATGTTTCCGTTTCTTAGGTAACCGAAACAAAACACTGAAACAAAATTTTGATCCTTGAGTGTGACACATGAAACATATGTTATGAAATTAAATGATGACAATAAAGTGAAATTAAATCAAAGAACGATAAAAATGCAATCCAGACAATCACACAACACAGAATTTACGTGATTCGACAATTTGCCTACGTCCACGAAACTGCAGGGGTTTCACTATTTTCAAGAACGAATATAGAGAGAGCGGCAGCCGTACAGAATCAATCCACAAACCCTAATAACCGAATAATCAGTTTATATATGTCCTGCGCATAGGACTACAAAACGGGCCCAAACCCCCCACAAGGCTTATCCATGAGCGCCTCAGAAAATTTTTATTAAAAAACCACGCACCATTATTGTGGGTCGGGTCAACATCCGGATCGCACACAAACTAGACTCCACAAGAAGAAACCCAACAACATATATACCCCCACCCCAACCCACATGCACACATTCTACATACTATAGGCAATATCCAAGCAATATATCACTACGTTACAATTATGAGTATTTATTAACATCAAGCTTCCTTTCTTTCTATCTTTAAACCTTTGATACATGAGGAGCGCTTCAAATCAATGTTCTTGTTGTGTGCTAAACCTATGACCACCCTACTACACTTGGTGTAACATGACAATCCTAAGAAGCCTGAAAAGCGAATTGCTCTAAGAAAATATAGAAATGTGCCATGGAAGTGACCAAATTCTTCCATCACACAGTTTAGTGGTACTCCACCTGATCTAGTAGGATAAGCTCAAAATCTCAAATTTTTAACGCATGGGAGGGATCCAATAGACTATCTTGTGGAAGTGAATTTACCTCAACATTAGTACAAAGGAGACAAAAATAGAAACGGCAGACTAATTATAACTCGAATAGGAAGAAGTGAATGCACTTCCACCAGGGCTCAGATAAGTTTACTGTGTTTAAAGCAGGCATTATATAGTATCCTATTTCTTCCCAGAAAAATGGAGAGAATCATATTTGATGGAATCTCCATGTTCTAATCATATTGCATTGTAAGTAAACTACTAATCAAGACCTTCATAAGAAATCATACAATCAGAATTATTTTTTTTCTTTACAGTCAGTTCGTTGTTTCATGATACACTGAACCAGAATTGATTATTTCATATTCTGCTATCTATGTCGTTAAATCCAATAATTAAGTTGAAGAAGAACAAAGAGGATTCATAGAGGGATTTCTTCAAGGAATATTTTTTGAATTTACCTGAAAAAATGTATGTGGTTCAAAACAATTGAACACCAAATGAAGATCATCCTTCTATCATGGTAGTTTATTTACTGTTTTCGTTCCACATCAAGTGGCAAGGTAGTGGTCAAATAAACAGGTAGGTGAGGACTCGTCATATCACAATGTAAATTATTAACAAGCAGGTGTCCCTTAAAATGGAATAAGTATAGCCAAAAAACACGTATAATACTCTGCCTTTGAACTGAGTAGTAAGTAGGTTAACTATAATGGAAGTAAAAAATGAGGATCTCTGGTTAAGCCAGGCATTTCGATCAGAGAATTAACTATAAAACATTTGACATGGTACTCTTCGAGATTTCACTCCAAACATTAACATGTACAATCTAACATAAGTCAAGAGAATGAAAAGGACAATACAATTTCTAAAGAGTAAGTAAATAGTTTCTCACTGCGTATTTACTAGAACAATAGTTACTATGTTCTGATCACCTTTTCCTCTTTGCTATTCAAAGATACAAAACTACATGCGATCCAAATCCCCCAAGTGTAGTAATATTATAAGTTTAAACACTTCAAAATAAGGAGGATATAAAAGTAGTGCTGCAAACTAGTTGAACACAACATATTACTCCTCTAGCAGCTGCATGTCACCATCAAACTAGACAGTTTAAATAAACTACGTAATTATCAACTATCCTTCGAGTGTTCAAATGGGAGACACACAATTAAAGCATTCAGTCGTTAAGCCATGTCTTGTAGAACTCCCATCAAATGAATGAATTTTATCAGAATATTCCCTCCCATTTGTAAAGTTTTTTGAGAAACAAACTACCTGGTTTGCTATGTTTAAATCACATATAGAAGTTAAAAATCACAATCCCAAAAAAACAAAGAGAAAAAGGAATAGCAAAGTTTGTAATTAAGTTTCTTCTTGTCACATTTCAGGTCATATGAATCATAAACTGCAGCAACACATTAACAGAGAGACATCCATACATATTTGCACGGGCTAAAGTACAAACACTTGAACATCACAAACCCCATAAATATAATGTCATGTGCACTTCATAGAAAATAATAAATGAATCAATGAATAAAGTGGCAAACAAATGAGAGAATCACCTAGTTAGCAATTGATAAACTTTTTGTTTATTAATAGCTAGTGCTGAGAAGTATAGAGTTTATCCATGTAATACATCGACTATGATTGAGTCTATCAACGTAATAAATTGACTGGAAATTTGTGACTCCCAATTTGGGAGCCATCATCAACACTTTCCAAGTCGAGTTTCAGCAGTACAAATATGATGTCTGACCCTAGCCTACAGGAACAAATCCATTCAAACAAAGACACTGTAGAAGACTTGATGATTTCTTCAAAATCCCAACCTTAGATCCAAAGAGCATCCTGAAGAATAAGACAATGACGAATCATCTTCAACAGGGGCAGGCAAGTTCAGGTCCAAACCACAGCCCTCATTTGTTATAAAAGGGGTAAGCCCTTGTGATAGCTCTGATGGTTCATCCACTTTCTCCCAGTGGCATCTCTTGTGCCCACCAAGGGCTTGACCACTTGAGAAAACCCTTAAGCAAATGCTACATCTGTGCCCTACAACCATCAGCATCTTATCTTCCCCATTGTCCTTCACCTCCCCTTCACCATTCCTATAATCACCAATGCGATCATCATCCTCACCATCATTCCTAGTAATCGCAAAACAACCCTTCACATTTTTGTGACTAGCCCTATGACCCCCCAAAGCCTGATGAGACCCAAACACTTTCTTGCAACTGGAACACTCAAATCGACAGTTCAGATAAGAAGGACCAGCCCCATTTACATCCCCACCAGCCACCACCAAATCCCTAACAACAGTCTCACATTCTGATAAGCATAGATTGGCAGTACTAGTAGGAGTAACTGCCGGTGTCTTATAAGCGCTTGGCCCATTTGCTAACATTAGCAAACACGTTGCAACTTCGCGATCGTCATCGGACATTCGGGCTTCAAGATCATTTACATTGTTGTCAAGCAACAGGGGTCGGCTGAAATTGGGTGGAGGGTTAATGCCACGCCACTGGCGCTCCGGGTGGCAGCGCATGTGCCCGAAAAGAGCCTTCCATGACCAAAACTTCCTCCCACACTCACTACACGGCCTAGTAATCTTTGGAGCACTAGGGTCTGGCTTCTTTCCATATTTCCTAGGCTTGGTAACGCCACTGGAACTAACCCCTACCGAGTTGTCGATTCGGGTCAATTTGGTTCTCTTCTTTCTGGGTTTCTGATGGTACTTTTGCAGGCGAAAGATGCCAGCGGGGCCCTGAGGCTCGAAGCTCGGAAAGATTTCTCGATTGTCCTGTGAGGAGCAGAGTTGAAGTTCTGTAATGTTGCTGTCGTTCATCACTTTGGCATTGATGAAAAACAGAATGGCGAAAAAAATTGAACAAATGGCTGATGGGTGTCTTATGTAGTCCCAAGCGGTTACCACTCCACTCCGTGAGAGAGAGACACCACTTCGAAATTGGGTAGTTATTTTCAGTTATGAATCTTTATCTTGTTCACCCAAATTCTCTCGATATTTTGGCGAGAAATTCAAATTTCAAGTCTCACCCAATATACTAAAACCGCTAAATTTGTATGAGAGCAGAGAAATGTGGTTAAAGTTGTACGGCCACCATTAAGAAACGTGAACGTGATTATACTTCATCGATACCGCAAAACTGTTGATGATATAAATTCTTATCGAACAAATATTAGTAATTAATAAGATTTGATCACGTGACTTTAATATCTCTATAAGACGAAATACGTACAGTCAAATCTATTGATCAAGATTTATTCTTCTCCCCTTCAAAGAATATATATTTTCTTTCTATTAATTCTAGTAGTCAACTATGTATTTTTTTTTATTGGAATTAAAATCGATGTTTGCCTGCTACCATATTATCTACACACCACTCCTTAACTGTTTTTGTGAGGCTAATGAAATCGTTAATAGTCTAGCGTGAGACTAACATTTTATTCAACTGAAAACATGTTAACCATTTTCTTTTTCGCACAAAAGAAAATGGTCATAAACTGACCCGGTGATATTTAGCAATGTCAAACTAAATTTCAAAGTTTTCAAAACTGCCAAACATTATTGTTTGTTTTCCTTTTTCTGGCTAGTATTTGTCCTTTCTTTGGTGGGAAAACATGAAGCAAATTGCATTTGCTTGCACCTGTCACTGTCAGTGTCACGACTAACAGCCATACATACACTAAAAACAAAACACTTGCACTCGATTTTCCAAACCCACTTAATGTGAGACGTGAACTCCATTTACTATTTATACATGACGCCTTGCTAACACAATTTCTTTCAATCATAGCATTAACATTTCAATGGAAAATTGTATAGCACAAGCAAACAAGACAGTAGGTTTCACAACAAGAATTATACAATGATCAGTACCAGTATAAAAGATTGGATTGATCGAGTAGTATAAAAGAAACAAGTCCACCATCTTCAGTCCAATGTTTCCTCTCACTTCTCTGACTGATCTTGTTGGGTTGAGATTCCTCTAGAATTCTTCGGATATTTCCCCAAGGCATCCAAGATTTGAACTCGTTGCCTCTCTTTTGCCGCAATGCAGAGGAAACAAATTAAAGCTAAAACATATTAGGCTCCACGGGCCTCAGAAATGTCGAAATTGGAGCATGAAAAGAAATATCTCAAGTAGGACAGACACAAGAGTTCCTCGTATAAACCTGTAGCCAATGTGTTACACCAGTACAAGGGGCAGAGGCAATCATAAATTCTACTTCTGCCACCAATATCAATCCCACTGTAGAAAACTTTGATTACTAAACATGATACATAATGCATCTGAGGGCAGTGAAAATATGCTCGGGCAAACAACCAAAAGGTTGGGGGAGCACAACCCCTTGGTGGTAATATTGCCGAAGATTGGATGGGTACCCAATACACCCCTCCCAGCACTATATGTAAATGTTGTGGCCAAGTGGATAATGACACTCATACATTACTGCTCTGTTTATTGCTGATAGCAGGGAAATTGTTTTCATAGACTCCATACTCTACATATCATAAGATGAACTCATCTAACAAAATATTCTGACCTTCTATGAACAACTAATGCTCTTATAATGATAGCTATTGGCTGAAAACAGTCCAGAAGTGGCAGACAACAGATATCCCATAAGGACACGAAGATAAGATCGTACAATGGCCATTCCAACCCTGACCTCGCACAAGGTTCCAATTTTCATTTCCATAACTATGTCCGCTCTAAAATAGAGCACAAATCTTTGACATGGCAAGAGAGTAATAAGATAGTATCCAAAGAATCTTTAAGATAAATGAGCCTTGGGATGTCATTCTGAAAACTTCATCCACTAACTGATACAAATTAATACAAATGGAGCCAACACGCTATAGGAGTTGTGCAGCTCAGCCCTACTTTGGTCTAATAGCATGTGAGATCGACTGGGTTGTTGAGGTTAAGGGAGGAATAGGCACCTTTATCTAGGTATTATGGCCCTTGAAAAAACTTCTAATCAATACCAGAAATATTAATAACTTATCCTCACCAAATTCAGGATTATAGCTAAAGGTAATTATAATTGTTCATAATAAGAAACAAACGACTAGCCATAGTTAACAGAAGTAATACAACCTACTACAAGAAGTTAGTGTCACATTATTCTCACATAGAAGAAACAAAAAAGGGATATTTTCACCCAAAAAAGATGGATCGCAACTATGCTCCAAGGGAACAGGTATATGCAATGAAGTAATGATTGGCATAGGTGGCAATCTTATTCTAACCTATTTTTCCCCATGCAGAGAGAGCAAGCAGTTATGCAGCAAGGAGGTAATTACAATCAACAACTCCATTGTCATACTAACACCATGTGGCTTGTTAAACTAAACTGGCTAACCTTTTCATTGAATTCAAAGAGCAGCAGATATATTTGTAAACTGTCCACATTGACACTGAGGCCAGTCCAGTGCTAAGTCCCAACTAAAATAGGGTAAATTGAAACACTACTTTGACTAGTAGACCTGTTCAAAATAAACACCTCTCCATTTTTCATACACCGTGCAAATGCACAATATTTCAAGAAAATCATTCTACTATTCCTCCTACTATTTTGACAGTGAAACTTTGCCAGGAGCGAGTGTAATCAAGCATTTAATAAATGATAGCCACCCTAGATGCCAATGTTCTGATTCACTCCCAAACACGCTAGATCACATGGAAAATTCTCATACTATATTTCCTTCACAAAATGCCAAAATTTTCATATTGTAGCTGAGAGCTTCAAGTACCGACATAAAAAGGGAACCTGTGTGAAGCTACTTTAACTTTTCCTCATTCTACCATGTCAAGATAGACACGAAAAAATATTTAGGAAACATTATGCTTATATTAACAGCATGGCATTGAGACAAAGCATAAAAACATATTTAAGATCATGAAAAACAGATCCACAGAACTGCATTAAGTAAATATGGGTAAAGTAAGGAAAGAAATCTTTTGGGGATTCTGTTCTGGAAGTGGGTTTCCCTCTAACAGAATTCTGCGTGCTAACATCTTTTTTCTTCATTTCCATTAAAAATGAAAAACTACACTAGAAAAGGATACAAAGAAATTTGAATGTTACCTTCCTCCAATGAGAGCTGAATCGATCTCTATTCCAGTTCAACAGCATGTTTGCTAAGTTCAACCGAGGAAAGTGATCGAAGCACTGCTTGTTGACGTAAAACAAGAGAAAAATAAATGATATGGAAAAGAAAACATCAAAAAAGACATCATCATTAAGCAGCCTTGTTGAAATTCAAAAACATACATTGGATATAGCCGTCTTGATTTGATTGGTCCAAATTTTTCAATAAATTCTGCAGTTGGCAATATCGCTCTTCCAAATGCTGAATATCTATTCTCTTGAGATTACCTGTCGAAGATTTGGCACAACTAACATGGAGATATTTGGAATCTGCCGGTGTCAACATGTTATCAGACTTTCCAAGAGAGAGGAATTGAAGGTTTTAAGGACGAGAAGCACACCAGAGAAGCTCTAGTAAGAGACGCAACTTCTGGGACACACATCTTAGAATCCTTCATCCCCAATTTTTGTCCAGTTGCCTTGTCCTGGTCACCAAGTTTTCTTAATTGTGAATAATCAACATTATTGCTTGTAATGTCAGAGGCACTGCTTTTTCCTAATTCTGCTTCAGCTTTTCTACGAACATACACAAGATGCCCATTGCTAGTATTACTGGTTGGACATTTCTGGTGGGAAGGGCTCATCAGGCACTCTGGTGTGGGTCTCTTGGTGCCAGATATCTTACCAGCATCACTAGTGGGTCCACTCTCCTTCGGAAACAGTGTGATTACTGCAGATTTTGGCGGCACAAGAATTGTATTCTCGTTCTGCAAATCCCTCAGTGCTTTCTTCTTTGCAACTACTGGAACTAACAATTGCTTATCATGATTGGGCAAGCCAGTTTCAGTATTTGTCAGCCCATACTCACTAAACTTAGAATCAATCATTTGTTGAACCATCTGGAAAAAAAATGCAACTTCTCATTAAAAATTTTACTCCGTGAGAAGCTTTTTGACAATTAAGAGGTCAAATAATGACATTCCATGAAAGGAAGTACATTAAATAAAACGAAAAGTGTGGCATGTTGAGACATAAAAGTATGAATGTACATCACATTCTCCATAGTTTTAGCCCCCAATTAATGTTACTTTCCCCAAGATGCATCATTGGGACTTGGGAGTTTAGCAGATTAAAAAATCTGAATAGAGATCTCTAGTTTGTAATCTCCTATGATGTTAACCAATTTGAAGTATGCTATTATTAGAGGACCATGACAGACACCACCCCTAACAACATCATGAACAGGAATAAGAGAAAGTCACTTCCAATCAATTTCAGAGTTAAACAGATTAGCAAGCAAGGTGCAATATCACGAGCTGCTTTGAGAATGGTGAATTCTGCATCATACTTTCAAACAGTTCCATCCGACATATGCCAAATCAAGGTGGCAGTTACCAACATATAACATGAAGCAAGGCACATGTAAACTGCCTTGTGCATGAGCACATTTTTCACTGGCAGAAATATAAATGAAGGCAAGAGTTGTGTAAACAGCAATCAATATTGAGCTAAGACACAAGTTAGGCTGATTTGATAGAGATTTGTCATCACAAGAACAATAGGGAGAAGGAGGAAATCCATGAGGAAGTACAAGCTCGACAATGATATTGAAGATCTCCAAACATCGATACAATTTTTTCCTATAGTTGTCAGAGAAACAAATGTGAAGTACAGCTTCTAAAGAGATTTGATGATTCAGAAACCAAAATAAGGTGTCGATTAACTACCTTAATCAAGGCATTTAGAGTGTTAGTTCGAACAAATGGTGAAAACTGGAGTCTAAATCTATCAAACATATTATAATTAACTTGAAGCCATAAGTTGTGGTCAGCCATCAATTGCCAAGATGGCACATGACACCACCAATTGATGACCCAAAACTAGGAAAGCTAACATCACTGACAATGGCCATCCGTCTATCATTAGACAACTGGTGATAGAAACATTTAACCAAAAAACATACAGAAAAGAAAAAAGAAAGGAAGAAAATAACGAAGTAACAAAAGATATTCCTATAACCAAAATTTTGATAACCTGAACAACTGGGTATATGATTATTGAATGAAAAGAATGAATTTCACCCAGGAAATTAACCTGCTGGACAATAGCATATAATAAAAGAAACCAATTAATGATGCAACTACTGGTGTGTGCATCGCTTTTGGTGCACATTACTATACCATTTCAATCGATCTCAGGGTCCTATTTTTTGCTCAAGTAAGTAACAGATTAGGCTTTAAATAATTTGAAAAACATAAGAATGGCATAGGAAAACACCTAATCACAATAAACCTTTCCTTTTCCTTGGTCCTTGTTAGTAAAGGAAGAAAACTATAGGCAACATAACATCTTCCACTTAAAAATTCTGAAACCCAAAAACCATGAAACACTTCTTAATAGCTGCAAGCTGGATGATCATCTATCACCAAATATTCAGTTAAAAAAAAAAAAAAAGAATCGTGACTATTCAATTCTACAGAGCTTCTTTTCACTGCAATAATTATAACCTAAAGGCATAAGAAATTCAGGACGGAGAGTGAGTGAAATAACAGACCCCAATTATGAACAATTAATTTACCAAAAGTTCACCAAGTTTGCTAAGAAAAACAAAAAAGGGACAAGCAAGAACTAAGAAAAAAATTGTATCAAAGTTGTCTCATTCAAATTTACACCCAATCAATAGAAACTACTTCAGAGCCAATACTTCCCCAGAATAAACTTCAGATACAGAAAAAATAACGATGGTGAACCTAATCACCCATAATTTGTAATAATTCAGAAGCACCTCATCCTCAATTCACCAAATTCAGAAGACAGAGAATGCAAGACTCGGCTGGACCAAAGCTAAATTTAACTCTAACAGCATCTTTTCCTCTTTCTTTAGCTGCACCGCTCATTACCCCTTTCGGCCAACCAACATGGCTCCACCTCCCAGGCTTGACCACCTAAAGCTCGATCCACCTCCAACGGAACTACCACACCTCTCAAGACGGAACACTCTGCCCCCAAACACAACAACTATCACAGAGCACCTAAATCCACCATGGCCAACCTGAGAGAGAGACAGATTGATTTACCAGATAATCGGCACCAGATTGATTTTTCGTATTATCATTTCAACAGTTCATCGACTGTGATTTTCAGAAAGGGTGCAGAGTATATAATGGACAATAAATTGGTTGTGTGTTTTTCACCATAAGGAATGAAGAACAATGACGAAAATCTAATATAGAGAGAGAGATAGACAGGGGATATGTTACAATTTCTTTTATGAATAATATTTTATGCGCTTAATCTGAGAATTTTATCTCAGGTGAAACGTAACACTTTCTTTATAAACATTGATAAATAATTAAAGATTAAACGACTATTCTTTCTCTTTACTTGTCCTTTTGATATTTTATAATACTATTGCACTTCTTATTAAAATAATGGCGGTCATTGACAATGATTTATATTTAATGTTAGGATCTAAGGTTAATTCAATAATTGCAGTGTATGTATTAAAGTTTTCCGAACTTGCCCCCAAAAAAAAAGGTAGGCAAATAGAATAAGCACGAAATAAAGGGGCATCAATGGAAAAGGACAAAAAAAAAACGTATCGCATTTCTCTTTACGTTTTTTGTTCTATTCTCTCCCCTCCTCTATCGACTTTCATGACCTTTCTGCAACTATCCACGTCTCTACTCCTTTCGTCTGAATGAAACCAACGCAGTCAAAACCCTAAACAACCTATATCAAACCCATCCATATCAATGGCGAGACGAACACTACCGATCCTCAACCAACTATGCGCTCGATCACCATCCCATCTCCACCCTCTTTTAGGGTTAATCTCAACCCGATCGGTGACCTATATGCCCAGACCCGGAGACGGATCTCCAAGGCCCGTGACTCTTATACCGGGCGACGGAATCGGTCCTCTGGTCACCGGCGCAGTCGAGCAGGTTATGGAGGCAATGCACGCGCCTGTATACTTCGAGCGCTACGACGTCCACGGCGACATGAACAAAGTACCTCAAGAAGTGATGGATTCCATTCGCAAGAACAAGGTGTGCTTGAAGGGAGGCTTGATTACTCCGGTTGGTGGTGGTGTGAGTTCGCTTAATGTTCAGCTGAGGAAGGAGCTTGATCTGTATGCGTCGCTCGTTAATTGCTTCAATTTGCCGGGATTACCAACGCGCCACGAGAACGTTGATATCGTTGTCATCAGAGAGAATACCGAAGGGGAGTACTCGGGGCTTGAGCACGAGGTCGTTCCAGGCGTTGTCGAAAGCCTCAAGGTAATATCTGTCGTTGGTTCTCGTTGATATTGTATCGTGATTTATTTTCTATTGTTGAATTATGAGATTAAAACTTTTTATTTAGTTCAAGTGTTTAAAATTGATATGCCGGTCTGTTGGAGAAAATTTGTTACATGTTTATACTATTTAGGAAATTTTTAATATCTATGTGGAATTTGAGTTACTTGATAAAAATCGATGCAAAATGTCAGATTATCAATGGTAAATGACCTTTCAAGTGCTTTGTGTCGCCATAATATGTCAATGAGCATTCAGATGTTAGCAAATATCCATTTAAGTGGTTGTAAAAATGCCTAACGCCATATGTTTTCAATGCAAAATGAAATTTATAAACAGTTTTGAACATAAGTCACATGGCATAAGTTTAAATAGAGAGAGAGAGAGAGAGAGAGAGCTGTCACTATCCTTGGAGGATCTTATTCCCTAATGCTGATAGTAATAACCAGAATCAAACATAGGGGGTGGACAAGTTGTTTAGGGCTTAGTTGGAAGTATCGAGGCTGTGTTTTTCTTTTTGGGCCACTTCCCAGGATTAATCTAATCATTGCTGTCTCATGTGTGACGAAGGATTGCAGATGTCTAAGAGCATCAATTGAGTGCTTTAAGAGGTCTGGATACTGTATAATTAGCAAAATAATTATAATCAAAGTTAGATGAAGAATTAAAGCATTGTTGAAGGTGTCAAGGCAGTGTTTGGAAATTTTTCATTCACTTGATAAAGTATGAATATCTAATGGGGATGAGGGGGACTTTGAGGGAATCTCTTCAATTTTACTACCCTGATGATCCCATGTGTCAGAAAAGAATTGGTTTATTGTTTTTATTCTTTATAGCTGTGGATACATAGAATTGTAATGCAAGTTTCATGATCTAGTCAGTCGTATGTCATAAGACTTGTTTCTTCCTAAACTATCTTTTGCGTGTATCTGCTGCTGAAATGTTGTTCTGACTAAGAATATGTGCTCATAATGGAGCTTCCACTTGATAACTTTTGCCTGAATATTGTTGTGTTACCTTTCCTTCCAAGCCTAAGTTGGAACTTCAACAATGTTGATGCCAAATTTTTCTGTAAGTTTCTGAGTTTCTGGAAGTATGTATGTTTCTCATCCAGCGGTTTTGCTAGGTGATAACAAAGTTCTGCTCAGAACGTGTTGCACAATATGCCTTTGAGTATTCGTACCTCAACAACAGAAAGAAAGTGACAGCGGTGCACAAGGCCAACATTATGAAACTTGCAGATGGTCTGTTTTTGGAATCCTGCCGGGAAGTCGCTAGCAAGTATCCCAGTATCAAGTATAATGAGATTATTGTGGACAATTGTTGCATGCAACTGGTTTCAAAGCCCGAGCAATTTGATGTTATGGTATGTGACCATGATTAAAATGTGTTTCAGCCCATTTATAGCCCTATGGTGGCACCTATTTTGCCATTTCTTGATGTTACTGTCTTGATGGGACCAACTCCCTATGGTTTGTTTGAAGTTGTACCATGTCCTCTGGTTTGTTAGCAGTTGGACCCAAGTCCCCGAAATTCTTTTTGGTACTAGGTCAGATGATGTTTTATGCACTGTTGATGCCTTCTCATTATCATCTTTCTGATTGACACATGTCTATGTAAGCTTGTATGATCAAGCTTTAGAAGTAGGACCAGATGTTCGTTATAGTTCTTTTGCCTTTCATCACCTCAGTGATAATGAAGTAGATTCAACAATAAAGGGAAGAAATCCAGATTCTATCTAATTTTGTGCAAGGTAATAAGTTCATATCTATCTTCTGTATGTTTATTCAAGAAGAATAAATTTCTGAGGAAGAGTACGGGAAGTTTATACAAGGCCGCGTACCTAGGCTGATGTACATGATGTATCACTTACTTGAACCTTCGACTTGGAGGCCCCTTACACATCTAGTAGTGTCTTGTTTTATGGGGTTGAACTGAATATATGCATGACTATAATCCTCCCTTTAGTCACCCCAAACCTTTTTACAGGCGGTTGATAAGGCTGATTTATGTTTTTTAGGTTACTCCTAATCTTTATGGCAATCTCGTGGCAAATACGGCAGCTGGTATTGCTGGAGGCACTGGTGTCATGCCAGGAGGTATCTATCAATAACAAAGAAATTCCCTTTCTACTCAAGTCTACAAATCTGTACTTGACTTTGGCCTTTTCAAAACTTATGATGAATTATATGTTACACTCACCAAGTCACCAGTAGTTCTTTGCTCAAGAAAAGATAATTCTTCCTGAACATTGATTAGTTTAAGCAGGAGGGTGGATGCTTTAATTACTTGCAAGTGCCTTATCAGGTTTACCTTGACTTCAGGCAATGTGGGGGCTGATCATGCTGTTTTTGAGCAAGGCGCTTCTGCAGGAAATGTGGGAAATGAAAAGTTACTAGAGCAAAAGAAGGCAAATCCAGTGGCTTTGCTTCTCTCATCAGCCATGATGTTAAGACATCTCCAGTTTCCTTCATTTGCTGATCGGCTGGAAACTGCAGTGAAGCGTGTGATCTCGGAAGGCAAGTACATGACAAAAGATCTTGGTGGAGACAGCACCACACAAGAGGTTGTTGATGCTGTTATTGCAAATCTGGACTGACCTCGGGAAATCACCTTTAACCCTTGGCACATCCTGTTAAACTGTCATTCCTATTACAGACTTGTACTCGGCCATTCTTGTAAGATTTTGTTTCTTCCATATTTTTGATTTCTGATCTGAAGCTTTTTAAAGAGGTGATTTTTTTTTTTTCTGAATAATCTTGGTTAACTTTGAGTTGGAATAATAAGTCAATTAAGTATTTGGCTTGGTGAATGTAGAGCTTGCTTCTGTGAAAACTCCAAAAAAACTTGTAAGTACCTAAAGCAGGAAAAAAAACTGTCCATTTGCATAAGCACTTAAAATTTTAGATTACTTCCATGGAAATGGATTGGATTGAGAATCTGTAGAAGTCGAACTTTCTTTCTACACTTAATTAAAGAAGAGTAAAGGTCTCGGTCGGCACATCTGTAAAGCTGCTACATGGTGACATGGGTATTGAGTCACCGAAAATAGCACTTAGTAAACACCCCTCTCGAAATCATTCCTTGATTGTTATCGATATTTCTGATCCAACTACCCCTTATTTTAAGGAGTAGTTCAGAAATTGTCCGGTCCCACTCAAACTAGCTGCCCTGCCCTGTCAGTGTACCATAAGAATTCTGGCAAAAAATGCTGTTTCGAGCTCTGAACGAACTTTTCTCAATATGGAAACCATCTAAAAATAGTTAAGGGTGACGTCTTTCCATGCCATCAAGGAGAAATTTCTCTCTGAATGGTTTGGACCTTATGCACATGAGTAACCTCAGAGGCAACAATCTCCCCAATACAGCACAAGTCCTGTTGGGGACAGCTACAATTGCTCATGATCGATCGTAAGCACTGCACGTTCAAGGATTTGGTATGGTCAAATTAACGTGTTTGAGCTAGTGTCTCGCTTAAATTGCTCTGTTCATGAATGTAAATTACAAAGTAAATTTAATTCTTCCGTCTCTGACAAGTCCTATGCAACTACATGCCGTTCAGTTCAGGTTTGCTCCTGAATTTTCTGCTTCCATTTTTTGTCCTTACATAAGACTTTTGGTTCCCGAGCAAAGCTTTCTCTGTGCACAAGAAATTTCACTGAACAGCTCGTAATCACAAAAGCTTCTTCCTTCCTGTTACCATAAGATCCAGAGAGAGATGATGTTTGTTGGTTTGTTTATTGCAGAAGAATTTACCATATTCATTTCTCATTATGTTGTGCTTTCCAGAAATCACAAAAAAGCAATGGATTTCCGCCCCCTGGCTCCATGGGCTTGCCTCCCATTCGAGAGGCTCTTCACTTACCGTCTCCTCAATCATCCATTCTAGTTAACAAATCAGTGCCTGCACACACACACAAAAAACCCTTCAGATAATCAAGCAAGCTGTTTTGGGAAGTTATAAGTGTTGATTCAAGAGCAAAGGAAGACAGTAAAGATGATGAAGGATAAGATATAAAGAAAAATGTAGATCACCCGTGGCAACCTCCTAGATCAAGCCATCAAAAGACATCGAACAGGATAAATTCAATGACGAGAAAACACGTGATTACTTCCACAAATTCAGATATCTGACTATTTGACTATTGAAAGGCAATTAAACTTGACCATCCCAATATCGGCGGGCACTTGAACTTTAAGTATTGTCATATTCTGATTATAACTAAATAACAAAAACCCACTAACCTCAGTTCTCTTCAGATCCTTATGCAGGAACCACCACGGGCCACTCTTTGACATTAATCTAAAAAAGAAACATAAAATACAGTTAGCTAAAGACACATGAAATGGAGCAAAGCACCATAGTATCACAGACGCACTAGAATTTCAGAATCAAGAACTAGAACAGAATTCAAAATTTCCCAACTCTCCCTTTGTGGATTTTTGTGCATCTGAAAACTCTATCGAGCATGCCAACAAAACAAGCTCTTAATAATTAAAATTTGATACAGAAAATTTTGAACCCTAAGCATATATTGAAACTGTTGCCTCGTATTTCTTTCATATAATTTCACAAAAAAGCAATTCAATCAAAAACCTTTACGAATATACCACCTTTCTCATCTCCAACAATATCAACACTTGAAGTCAGTAATGTGTTTTCTGAGACTAGGCTGGCAGAAATTTCTTACATAAAAAAGGAAACTTGTCATAATGTTATCCAGTTTTCCTAAGCATATATCAAACTGTTACCTCCCATGTCATTCAGACTATTTTAAAAGCCTATAGCAATATAACACCTTTCCTATCTGCAATCTTATATCAAAACTTGGAGATGACTAGAAAGTTGAGGTTGTAAGATAAGAAAACCTTTGAAAATGGCTCGCAAAAAATTCTTAAAATTGAAAAAAAAATTGTCATAATGTTATCCAGTTTACCTGATGTATCCTGCCACCGTTCGCAACCCCATAAAGAGAGTCAAGCCACACCAAACACCGGGAAGACCAAAAACTGATGAGGCATACAGCAGAAACATGGAAGATATTGTCCCCACAAGCATCTAGAGTTCACCTCAATAACATTAATAGAAACCCATATGCAATGCAACGCAACCCAATTAATGACGTGTCCAAACAGTTATTTGGCTTACCATAGAACGAGCAGCAAATGCGAAATCTGAAGCACCATAATGAAGGCCATCAAAAATAAAAGCTAAAGAATTCAAAGGTTGACTGGCACTGACAAACTGTAATCATATTACATAACATCACAATAATAAAGATGTTCACAGCCCCCATTGGAACCCAAAGAAAAAATATAAAATAAAAAAGCAAAGATGAAACAACACATTTATGATAATACGTACCAACACCCCAGTTGTAACGATTCCTAAGACATCTGCATCACTGGTAAACAAGGTGGCTAATTTACCAAAAGATATGCCCAAAACCAAAGCCAATGCAACCCCTGTGACTAATCCTATCTGGAAAAAGATAATGCATAAGATCACAACAAAAAATTGAACATGAGAATAAAGAATACAGCAGTATCTCAGAACATAATCAAGAGCATAGAAGTATGGCATACCTTTAGCACAAAATAAGTGACTTCCTTCACAGTTCTGTAATCACCTTGCGATATAGAAGTGGCAATCAAGGACTACAACAGGGGGAATTTTTTTTATTTTTTTTTGGGGGGGGGGGGGGGGG